ACAGCCCTGCCTTGTTGCTTTCTGACCCCAAGGATTGAGGGTACCTGTGGCAGAGTGCTTGAGTATGTGTAGTGGGAAGTGAATGGGTGGGGCTTGGTGGGAGACGGGAGAGGGGCGCTCATTGCTGGGAAAGATTCCCTTCTGACCAAAACAGTGGTAGAGACAACAAGAACTGCAGAACCTGAAAACAATAACATTCAGTTATTGAATGTCTATTGCTTAAAAACAAAACAAAGAAACTCCATGATCTAGCAAGGTGTGGTAGTACATGCCTGTAATTTCAGCTACTCAAGAGGTGGAGACAGGAATATCTGCATACTTATAATCCCAGTTGCTTGAGTTTTGGAGATAGGAGGACAGAGGTCTGATCGAGGTCCCAGGTAAAAGCAAGAGAACCTATCTAAAAGCAAAAACAAAACAAAACAAACCCCCAAAACAAAAAAACCAAGAGCAGACAAGTGGGAGATGGGTATAGGGCTTGGCTCAACTGGTAGAGTAATTTCCTAGCAAGTAGTAGGCCCTGAGTTCAATCCCAAATACCTCCAGATGCCTTGAACTTTGCCATGGGGAGAATGCCACTTTTCTGATTGTGTTTTCATTGTGAACTGGTGTGGGTAGAGTCTCTTCCACTTGAAAGTTACTCTGTTTTCCTATAAGCCTATATTTACATAGTTCCTCCCATTTTATTTTTAATGGCCTGTAACCGTCCATTCTGTAGGTTATTGTGATTTGATAAAAAGATATAGTTTTGAATGCTGTCTGGGCTGGGTGAGGCAGGGGATCTGTATATGAGAAGGCAGACAAATTTGCTTTATGAAGAAGCTTTGCTTTTGTGGGGAAACTGGGCATGAATGGGACATGAAATCACACAAATGGTTCTTCTTATACTTCTTTTGATGTGGCTAGAGCCCTGGATTTAGGGATTGAGGCACCTGTGTTCGACCTTGACTTTTTCTTGTGTTTGCTTAGTGTTTCTACCTTTGAGACGGATCAGAGGGACCTACATCTTCCTGGGGGCACCAGGGCAAGAGTTAAACACCATTAAGCATTGTTAAATATTATTAAGTACTGTTAAATGCTATTAGCCTGGTTAGTTCTGTGCTGAACTTTCATTTAAGCCTTTATTGTGAACACCCTTTTAATTCCTTCAGTGAATGATGAAAACCGTCAGGACTGGGTCATTTGATACGCCGCTCCTTCCATGCCTGGCAGCCTTGGGAGCTGGGGAGTGGGGGGATGGGGTGGCTCCTCTTTGGACCACCAGCTGGACTTCCCTCAGGCACTCTCTAATCAAGTTGTCTTGGATGCCTTGGGGTCACTCTGGGGATCCTCTAACATTTGCAGGGGACCACTACAACCAGGGTTCACAGTCCTGATTCAACCAGGAAGTCAGCATATCCTGGACCTGGAAAGCAGCTCCTTAAGTAAGACCAGGCCTCAGTAAATTCCAGATGACTCCACTTATCCTACTGCTATTCTTGCTCATGCAGGAGGGGGCGGGGGCACGTCTCCTGGAGATCCAGCTGAGGGCAAACACAGTCCTTGACATAGTGGTTTGGAACGACAGTCTGCCATGATAGGTGCCAACAACCTTGCCCACCACCTACTCTATTATATAAATAGGCTGTTGTGTGCACTTCTCTAGCCAATGGGGAGGGGGCACTTCTTGTACTGCCCCCTGGTGTTGGAACTTTGCTCTAACAAAAGGTCTCTGGAGTGGTTTTTGCCTACTTTCCACCTTCGAGAAGCTGAGCCCATGACAGGAAGAGGAGACAATGGACATGGTAGTGGAATCAAGGCAGTAGCTGTAGCCAAGACAACAGAAGGTAAACGGTGGAGGGCAGAGGAAGCAGAGATAACAAGGGAGTGCAAAAGTAGGGAGAAGGCAAGGGCGAGTAGAGTCCCAACTAGAGAAGGCATAGGGCTGCGAAGAGGCGGAGAAAAAGAATGGTGGCCTTGGTGGTTGGAAGAGTTCCATGGAATGAGCAGATTTTAAGGGCCAAGGTTCTCTTTCACCCTAGACCCAAGATCTATAACTCTTGTTGCTCTCAAGGACCAAGAGCTCCAACACTCTAGGCTTGGAAGCCAAACTACCAGCTGTCCAAGAACTGTTAACAGCACTGTGTGCTGAGATTCTCAGCACCTGAGCTTTAACATTGTTGCCTGCCACCTCACACTGCTGCTAGGAACTGAGCGTTAAAGTAGCTGCCAAGTGCTGGAGCTCCTGGTGATTGCTATCTAGAGCAACTGAAGGATTGACCCCTGCGCGCCCCCCCCATTATCTCATGTGCACACAGACTTTAGGCAAAACCCCGTGTATGTATGGATGTGCTTGACACAGCCAGACAATCTGTCAACATTCCATGGTAGGCCTAAGCTATAGGGAACTCTGAGGCCAAGCTGTGAGGCCAGGAAAGGGTTAAGAGGTTGGAAGACTAAGAACTGGACCCTGAGAAGGTCACATCGTCAAGGCAAGACAGATAGAGAGCTGTTTGAACATTAAAAGCTTGAGACCTCGGATAAGGGAGCCAGTTACCATTATCTTACCCCATTCTCTGTAGGCACCTGCGGTCATCTCCCCTACACTGAACCCAGGTAACCTCTGTCTCCTTGCTCAGACCCCATAAAGGCTTAACTCCAGCCCCACCCCCTGGCACTACCTCCGATCCCATGGGAAGGTTGCTGCCCCTGGCTGGTCATCAATAAACAGCCGGCACCTGTGGAAGATTGAGTCCGGCCTGTTTTCTTCCTTTTTTTCTCCATTGTCCTAACAGCAATTACCTTCCAGCTTGAGTATCCAGGGCCATATGTTTCTAAGGCTTCTAAAGCCTGGAGCAAGAAGCCCTTTGCTCTTAGGATGAGCCTCTGGGTCTGCTGTTGCAGACCCCATAGGCCTTGGGCACTCAAGAGCTAGAAATTGCCACACTAGAAGCGCTTCTCCTCACCTACCCACAATCCCTATCTGGGTAGACCAAACAGACGCTAGCCAGATATTTTCTTTCCCCAGTTCTCACATTCTAATCCTCATACACATCATGGAAGTTCAGACACAGAGGCAGCCCTAGAGGTCAAGTGCCTTGCTCAAGGTCATAGCCGTTGTCTTTACGCCCATTCCCCTTCTCCAGCCTCACGGTTCAAGGCAGGGGTGGGGATGGGGGTCGATGATTAAGTCAGAAATGGAAGTTTGATTCTTTAGAGAAAGCTGTAAAGGAACCCGTTGTAAGCATAAATGCTCAGCCTAACTTAAATATTCAGAGATATTTTTTTCCACCTAAAAATGGTCCTGGGCTTCTGCTGCTTGTTCTAGATGCCCAGTAGGGTTTATGTGATTACACAGTAGGGAGACCGTGGAGAGGACACAAGGGTCCCTCTGCAGCTCTGGTGCTGCCCTGTGTTTTTTTTTGGTAGGACCTTTGCAGCCTGTCTTTCATGTTCTTTGTCTGTATGAACTGAACCAGCCTTCAAATTGCTCTTGGAATGGGGCAAAGCAGTCATAGCATTGATAATCTGTGTTGGCAGAGTCTGAGAGTTGTTTGGCTTCTAGTTATCTCCCTACCTTGCTGTGCTTCTGTCTCAGTTCAAGAAGCACAATGTGAATCAAGAAACAGGAGCGGTGGCCACAACAACAGGAGCGAGGTGGGACTTTGAGTCCTAGACGACTGGGTTTGCCCAGAGAAGCTGCAGCTTCTGGTTCCAACTGAGCCTTCCTAGGAAGACTGTTTTGTAGTGTGGTAGAGACGGACTGGAATGAGGTTCAGTCCATAGGACATTATCCTAGAACAATAAGACAGCACTGTTATTGATGCAAGGATGGAGGCTCTAGGGGCAGAGGATGCCTCCATCCTCCATCCACTTGTGGTGGGCATATGGGAACATCCTGTCACAGATGTCCACATTTAGAATTTCCTGAGGACTGAAGTCTGAGAATATCACCAGGCCTTCCATGCTATGTACCTGGTCAGCTGTCCCCCTGCTCTGACTAGATCTGATTTTAGTTCAGTTTGAAGACACATAGAAGAAATCAGGAAATGGTCATGGGAGCCTAGGAAGAAGGTTAGAGCAGTGGCGGCTGAGATGGTTGGGAAGACACTGCGTTTGGATGTGGGCCCTGTCCCAAGCCCTTACATCTGTGGTTTCTTGGTGAATTAGACATTGCCCCTGAAAGAGAATAGAAGGGAGTTTAAAAAAAAAAAAAAGGAAGGTCAAGTTATTCACGCATGACACAGACCATCTCAGAACTGTAGGTATGCCTTGATTCCTCTCCTTTCTCTCTTTGGAGAGAGAGCTGGCCAATCAACTCTCTTCTTCCTCTCCTTTCTCTCTTTGGAGAGAGAGCTGGCCAATCAACTCTCTTCTTATCAGCTGCTCTGTGTCCACTTCAGCACTGAAAGATTCGCCTGGTTCCCGAGCCTGTACTATCCCCTTTTATGTTCAAAATTCTCTTAAGACTTTCACACAAGGAAATGAACAAGGTTTATAGTATAACAAACCCCAGGGCATGGAAAAGCTAAATAAACATTGCAACCACATATGTTGAGCAGCCTTGGGCTTCATTCAAATATCAGTGGCTGGGTCTACCTGTCTTGTCTTCTGCCTCCCTCGTTCTTTCTCTACAAGCGACATCTCAGGGACTTTCCTGCATCTCCCTGTCCCTTTTGAATCTTGGAGCAAGAGTTCTCCAGCTCTGGGGACTGTGCTTCTTGTCTATCACCACCGCCAGGCCTTGCCCTTGCCCTCAGTCTCCTGGTTTAGCAGACACCTTGTTTCTCTCAGGTATTTGTCATACTGGCAAAAGAAAAAAGCCTAAGACAGACCCAAATACTTTTTTGGGTCTTCATTCTGGACAAACAACTGCTATTCTAGCCAACTATGTCCTGCCTGAGGCCTTAGCACATGGGAATTTGGCCTGACCCATTTCTTGCTGCTAATTTCCATTAACGTGTAGTGTATTTCATAGCACGTTCTAGGTAAAAGCCTTTCTTCCTCTCCTATGTTTTCAGGTCAACCTCCATTGTCTAGTTTCCTAAGGGCTTAACTCTTAGACATCAACTTTCATATCCATTGCCAGATGGAGAATCTCATTTCTTCTCGCCTGCAGGTAAGGAAGAATGAATGATTACTCCCCCCTCTCTTGTATATCAAATATATTACATACATTGCTTATTTAACTTGTACAAGATACTGTTGTAAATGTTGAGACAGGGTCTTACTATGTAGCCTAAGCTTGCCTTGAGTTCACAGTCTCCTGCTTCAGCCTTCCAGATGCCAGAAGGAGAGATTTGCATTGCTGCACTCAGTTTTCCTTTCAACATATTATTTAATGCTTATGTGACACACTGTATTTGTAGATTTGAAAAATCAATGCACCAGGAGATTACAGAACTTGTCCCAGAACACAGAGTTTGAGAACGAAATCCAACACAAGATAACCTGAACCCAAGGCTTTTGCTACTACTAGTCAGGGATATATGAAACCTAGCATTGAGAAAGGAGTTAGGGGTGAAGGCCAAAGATGAATGGATAAAGCAGGGATGGAAAGCAAAACCAGTGGTGACATACATATAATACCACCCAGCAGAAAGTCCTGTTCATTGGCTCCAGAGAGGCCCCCATTTGAGGCTAAGCTTCTAGCAGTCAATATGAAACAGATTGGAGCCACCTTTGCGTTCAGCTCACTCACTGAGCAGAGATGTTTGACAGCTCACAGCGTCAATGCGATCAAGGACCAATTACTAGTCAGGCCCAACTCCCTAAGTTCTCTTGAGGGGCTTTTCAAGTTAGCTTTTCCCTCATGTTCCAGAGCCCAGCCCCCACAGAGTCCTCTCGCTGCAATTGGGAAGAATTATTTTCCACTTGTAGTGGAAAAGGGAGTAAGTCATGAAATATGGATTTGGTGTTGATGTCAGGTTGTGAACTTCTGGAGAACCAACACTTTTAACACGTTTCTTTTTCCCCCTTTTAGATGCTTGTCCAGCGTCAAGTTCACAGCAAGTGAGGGGCAGGTGTCAGTTGTGTGGAACAAGTATGAATATTAATGAATGCTGACGTGTACTCCCTCAGCATCTGCTTGCTGCAAGAGGAAGGTTCCATGTCTGGGCAGGACTGGCAGTATTAAGTCCTTTTAGAACTAAGGCAAGGCAGCATGGTGCAGTGGAAAAGGCATGGACTCTGAACTCTGGAATTGGACTTCCACTTGGAAATCTTAAATAAATCTTTAATTTTTCCGAAATTCAGACTGAAAAAGAAAAAAAAACAACCCGCAACAACAATACTCCAGTCATTTGAGAATAAAGGAGAGGCTATCAAGAAAGGGTGGCTGGCTCACATCTGTCATCCTAGCTACTCAGAAGGCTGAGATCTGAGGATCACGGTTCAAAGCCAGCCTAATCTCCAATTAGCCACCTGAAAACTGGAAGTGGTGCTGTGGCTCAAGCGATAGAAGGCTCACCTTAAGCTGAAGAGCTCAGGAACAGCGCCTAGGCCCAGAGTTCAAGTTCCACAACTGACCAATAAAAATAAAAAAAAGAAAAGAAAAGAAAGGGTGCTCCGTGCCTGGGATTCGGTGGGTGACTCACAAGTTCTGTTTGGCCAGTCAGCTGTTCACTTGAAATGTACTTATTGGGTGACTGAGGCAGGCCAGGCGCTAGGCTGTATCCCAGGAATAAAACAGTGAACACTGAGTATGACAGACAGACAAGGCACCTGTGGAGTCCCCATGTCTTTTTCTTTCTTTCTCCAGGATGAGAGCTCCTGTGGCAGTGTTTAATAATAGAGGGTGCCCCTGTCCAATCACTGTGAGGAGAAGGAAGACTCTTCGAGGGGAAGCTCAGGATCAGAAAGCCCTTATTTAAAGAGATACTTTCTTCTTTCTAGATTTCTCTAGATCCAATAAAGCTGTCTTGCAAAAAAGCCAGGTGCTGGGGTGGGTAGTGATAGAGGTGGCCAGTCTCATCTGAGGGGTTGTCTTGTGCCTTGTATTCAGGGTTAAAGGTCAGCAGCTTGCCAGGGCCTCATGATTACTTTTGCTGAGGAATGATTGCACCCTGTGACTGTGGAAGAGCACAGAGCCTCTGCACGGTAGGTTTACATTTCAGAGAGAAGCAGGTCCATGATGCTATGGTACACGATACACTGCGACCACACAGGCCTCTGTCCTGCTTCTTCTCTTCAGGATTCTGTATTTTTCTCACCCTCTGGACCAGTTTTGGCCTCTTTCCTCCTCTCTCTCAGAAAACAGCATGTTTGGTATTGTGTGCACACACGTGTGGAGTATGGCGGAGACATACAAACCCCTAACTCTCAGAGTCTTGCTAAGTTGTGACTGAAAAGACTCTTAACAATTATTTTTTGCAACTGTAAAAAATCAGACAATTCTGGTATATATTAGTTGGCAGAACTACACACACACACACACACACACACGTCTTGCTTTGCAAGTCCAGACCCTATTTGTGTGTGTGTGTGTGTGTGTGTGTGTGTGTTTGTGAGCTGGCTGCCCATATCTGCCTTGGGTCTTCAGGTTAAGCAGGGTCTGTATCTCCCTATCAGTCAGAGGTTCTTACGGCAGGTGCTGCATCTCCTCCTTCATGAGATTCTACTGGTAGTGCCAGTGTCCTCCCTGAGGACCCAGCCTGGTCTGGGACCAGCAGTTCTAGTGTGCTTTTGGTTGGGATGTTGGGTGGATAGATTCTTGAGTAGCTCTCACGTGCTTTGTGTTACCAGTAAGAGAGCAGAAGTCACACACACACACACACACACACACACACACACACATACACACACACACACACACACACACACTGAGGCAGCTTTGGATGAAAAGTAGAAAAACAAGAGCAAAAGAAGAGAGAAGACATAGCATCCTCAGGTTAGAGGGAGCCCAAGGACGGGGGTGTTTTAGGATCCCTTCTCTTCTAAGCCTGTGAATGTCTCCTGCCTCTGGCCTCCGAAGCCAGGGCCTGCCCTCCTCTCCCTTCTCTAGGCTGGATCTAACATCTCACACTATTTGATATCGTTCCCTCGATTTACTTTTAATCCTCCAACTAAATACAAAGAAACAAGAAAACACTTCCCGGTGCCTGGCTGAATCACCCCCTTCCCGGGTCCTTACGGTTTCCCTGTTCTGGAAGGTTGATGGGGACAAGGATCAAGCCTTTCTCACTTCTTATACCATACACTACCACAGTGCCAAGCCACGCTTGACAAAGGCTTTGCAAAAGTGAATGGATGCACTTTTCAGAAGCACGGACAGGGCCGGGGTCTCATTCTTCTGAAGCTTCACTCTGGGAATAGGCTTCATCCTGGGACATCTAAGGTAAGGACTTCACTGGAGGAAAGCTGTATTCTGGGGTCCTGGAACTAGGGGGCAGTGTTCACCCATGAGTACAGTCAGAGCAGTGTGTGTGTGTGTGTGTGTGTGTGTGTGTGTCTGTGTGTGTGTGTGTGTGTCTGTGTGTGTGTCTGTGTGTGTCTGTGTGTGTGTGTGTGTCTGGTGTGAGACTGGACATAGCTCTGGCTCCAGAGAGAATTCTTAAACTTTCTCAAAACAACTTAGCTCATCTTTCTGTGAGCACTGAGCTTTGTAAATGGCCTCTGAAGTGATGCTACATCAATACTACCAAACGAACAGGTTATCTGAAGAGTTAAGTGCTTCTGTCTTTTTTTTTTTAATCCAGTAAATTTTATTTATATATAACAACAGTACAAATTGTGTCCTTGGCTTGCAAAATAGGAGTGTTTCATATTTACAATAGGTACATGATAATATATTAGAATAACAAAAAACCCCGCTTTATTGGAACATTTTAAATACTTAATTTTCTTATTATTTCACAACACCTGTAAAAACAACAAAACCAGACAACCAGCTTGTATTTCCTTAAAAATAGATATAATACAGATTCCAGTGTGTCAAGGGGGAGGGTTTGCGTAGGAGGAGTTGGGGGAGAGGCAGGTGGGCTCAGACCCCTTGTCTCATGGTATTACGCACTTGTTCCTTCTCCTCATAACTCAGGAATGTCTTTCCTGTTGGGTGGGGCCCTGCTTCATTGGACTTTGCTACCCACGTGGAGGCAAATAAAGTCAAAGGGAACTTGGAGTTTTGAATTCTGAACTGAATACGCTTCCTACCCTGCTTAGGCTGGGGCTGGAGGAAGCTGCACCGCAGCAGGGACCAGGCAGCTTCATGTGGGAGAGAGCGGCTGCAGCGTCCATACAAGGGGGAGGAACATCCACTTTGCCTCTTGGGCCCTGTCTGAGAAGCACTGGTTTTGATTGTCTTTTGGGGCATTTTTCCGACTAATTACCAAGTACTAAAGGTGACACTTTACCCTTCATTCGTGGACATCACTGAGGGCCAGATGGTACCACTTCACTTGGAGGGAAGCCCGGAGCAGGGATGGAGACAGGGAAAAGAGATGTGGGGTTATGCTTCTCCAAGCACATTCCTGAGACAAGGCATCTGATGGCTCTGACTTCCATCCCCGTGTCCCCCGTCACTGTGGGAACTTCCCCCACGCCCCATGCTCATGAGGCCCCTTTGCATTGTTTTCACCCTCACAGCCCGCTCCATCTGACTTCTTCCCAATCTGTGTCCAGGTCCCGGGCATCTCTGCATGACATGGTGTGACTGGGCAAAAGGGGCTCCTCCCACTACCTTCTGGTAGCTGCTGGCTCAGTATGTTTTTTTAAAGCAGGTTGAAGAGGGCAGATGTGGCAAATGGCAGGCAGCTGGAGACCCATCAGGCAGGGGCTTTCCAATCTTCTTTATTTGATCCGTCTTGACTTTTTAATTTTAAGTCTTTGCATACCACTCTTGCCTCTGCTTCATGCTCAGCAGGTCCGGGGGTCTTGATGACTACTTGTCCGCATTGGGTAGAACTGGGGGAAGGAAGCAGGGGAGGGACCACCAGAAGAGCCTGCAGTGACAGAAACAAGAGCAGCTCTCAATGCTGGGGGAGCTGTCCCCAGGATAAGGTAAGGCAGCTGGGTGGGTCAGCTTTTCCTTCTGCACCCCATTTCTTAGACAACGGGTGTCTTCTGTCAGCGGGGGAGGAGCACGGTGCCCTCTGCCCTATTGGCAGCAACCAGAAGAATATTCCTTTGCTAGATGCAGGGCCTTCTCCATCTTGTTCATCCCCAAACAATGACTGGCAGGCGGCTGCTGCCCAAGAAGATTCTCCAAATGGATGGCTGCAAGGAACAGTTCCCTTTTCACGGATGGTGAAAACACCATCCATGTTTTCAGCGACTGGACGCTGTCAGAAGAGGTGGATCAGAAATGGTTTCGAGAGACACATTGTGGAAAGAGGTAGGATGTCCAACGTTAGAAGCACCTGACCCGCCCAGACGGAGGGAGGTGGTGGCAGGGTCCAGTATGCAGACCTCAAGAGGGGTGACAGGGCCCAGCTGGAGGGCTGGCTCTCCATCTTGTTCACTGGCAGAGTCTTGTTCTTTTCCCACAGATTGTCTCTTGAGCAGCTCAACAAAACAAAGCCAAGCTGGAAAGACTTTAGAGAGAAGCTTCCTGCCCTCCCCCACCCCAGCTCCCCCAGATGGATGGCTTCTTGTAGAGAAGGGCTGTGGCTTTAATACTTCTTTTACACAAGGCCCAAAGATCCTCAAGTTGCATAACACCAAGAACAGAGAGGCCAAGCGGAGGCCTCTCATCTCTATTCCATGAGCCGTGGACTCCACTGGGCTTTGGAGGCCCAAGCAAAGGTTGGTTGGTGGAGGACAGAGGGATAGAAAGTTAGAATGGGGGTAAGCCTCTGAAACCATTCATCCTCACGGCCTAGCCTGTGTCTAGCTGACTTTCCCCACTCCTTAATTTAAGGCTATCCCTCTTACCACCTCTTTTGTCAGCCCAGGTCCTCAATTCTCTCATGAAATCCTGAGAAATGTGGCCAGGCTACTTACTGCTGGCTCTAGCTCTTTCCACTCTCCAGTGGTCTGTACCCTCCCATCATTCTTAATACCTTCAAGAAGTACTCCAAGGGGGAATGGATGAATGGTCCTCAGAGGAGTTTCTGTGAGGTGGTTATGTAGAGGTGGGCGAGATGCTGTTGGAAGAGAGCTCTGATTTTCTTCTACTTCACGGTGGTTCATGGTGAAAAGCAGCTCTGGATGCCAATGTGAGCAACAGTGTGCTCAGGAAATCTCCATTCAAACAGAGCTCACAAGTAAAATGTCCACAGGCTGGAATTTTTCACGGGGAGCATAAAGTTTCCTGCTTACATTTCTTCTCCTTTCTCCTTTTATTTCCATAAATGATGTGCTTGGAGCTCATAAGCTTTGGGTGTTGTGAAGAGCAAACACTTTGGCTTGGTGTGGAAGGCCGGTCATTAGTATTTCTTTCAAGCTATTAATAGGACCCCAAGAAACTTGAACAGAAGTAGATTATCAGAAGAAAGTGGCCTTGGCATGGCTGCTTGTGAATTATAATGAAAACAGCAAGTTTCCTGAGTATTTTGCTGAGTGCTTTTCTCTTTCCATTGTCAGCTGCATTCAGGCGAGAAACTGGAGCTGAAGAGCTCAGGCATCTGCTGTGTGGTTAGCAGGCAATCCAAAGCCACACGCCAGGGAGGGAGGCCAGCCTTCCTGGCTCTCTTCCCTAGCCCCTTCCTGGGAATCACATGTGGTCACTAGAGCAGTAGGAAACTGGAATTGCCTGGAGGGTACAGAGAAGCTGTTGAACGCAAAGGAAATGACCCTGGGCTAGTCTCTCTTGGGATAGCTGATCCGGGTCTCCAACATGGTAGACTGCCCCCTCCCCCCCACTGGACAAAGGTGAGGAAGGGAAACTTACTTCTCTCCTGACCTAGCAGCTCCATCTTTCTTTCATCCTCCTACCCCAGCTCCAATGATGTTGGCAAGGAAGTTGAGTTGGCTGATTGGATCCACAGGTTGGTGTGTTCTGTTGGGCACTGGTCATTACAGTCCTGCCACCAGTAGAACTGCCCTCCTCTAGGAGACTTCTACTGGTTTCTTTGAGGTCTTTACATCTGGGTGTGGAGCTTTGGTCTCTAGGAATTCTACACAGGAGAGCTGGCAATCTGTGGTTTAGGTGCCCACAGGAGAGAGAGAGGGGAGGAAAGCATCCCAGTGAGAAACCATCCACGTGTCCTTCACACTCACTGGTCCATGAGAGGCAGAAGGTAACAATGACGTGGGGAGGCCACAGTCATTTCCTCAGAGGCAAGGAAGGTATGCCCATGTGGGCAGGAGCTTGCGATCCGGACAAAGGGACGGAGGGCTGTTTCCTCGCTCCAGGCACAAGAGAAAGAAAGTGTAATAATAAATAACCACAGCTTCTTCAAATCCATGCTCTTTTAGAGTATTGCTTGCTGTAAACACTGATTCTTCTTTGTTTCTTTTTAATTTTGCCAGAAACCACTAGATGACTGGAGTAGTATCCAAACCCAGCTCTCCGTGTCCCTAAGTCAACTCCCGAAGAGAACTTCCGGAGGCCTGGTCTACACCACCACAGAATGCCTGGCTGATGTGCAGCAGAGTGGCTGGAGTCCTGAGGGGGGGCAGGTTCTAATCCCCTTCTCCCCAACTTCTTCTATTAACTCTGGGGAAACCAGGAGGAAGGGTACCAAAGACAAGCTTTTTAAACACAGAGGAAAAACAAAAAAGCATTGGAACTGGATAGCCAGAGCCCTCATTCAAGAGATGAGAATATACAGGGGTGTGGTTCATAAAGCTGTTATTTCCTCCAGCCAGGTGAAGCCACTCCGATTTTGGGAATTTGTGCAGAGGTCTGTAGGTTCCACACTTTTCTGGCTGCCGGAATGGTTCAGTTTTCCATGGCCTCTCTAGTTGCGAAGAATTGGGTGAGAACTTGTGCTCATTCATTCATTCATTCATTTTCCTCCTCCTCCTCCTCCTCCTCCTCTTGTGTTTTCAATTGGTTGGAAAGGAGACCATTTCTCCCCCTTCCAAGCTCTCTCGTCATCTCTTTTTTCGGCTTTTTCTGACATCGGAAAGAAGAGTTACACGAGGAAGGAAAGATGGAGGACAGAAAGAAGGTGGACAGAAATCAGAATTAAAACAAAAGTTGGATGGGATGAACGGGGTGGCTTTTTTTTGTTTTATTTCTGTTTTTTTCCCTTTTTCTTAAAAAAAATTAAATAAAGTTCTCAGTATTTCCCCCAATATACATCGAATGAGTTTTCATGCAAGCAGCAGTCACAGAGGCTTGAGCCTCTCAGCTTGAAGAGCCACCATCTCCTCGCCCGCCTGGGGTCCCTGGTCCTCTCTGTGGATGGGTGACACCCTGGGTCCCTCCTGGCAGGAACTGGCGACGCGGGAAGCTGGCTGGCATCGCCTCTCCAGGGTGGGGAGGGTGGTCTCAGGGGACAGCAAGCTCTGGGGCCTTGCCCCCTTCCACGGGTCCTTCCTTCCTTCCGAGACGTCAGTGTGACAGCGTGGACAGGTCCCTCCTCCCAGGAACTTGAAGTCCTCCTCTCAGCTCTCAATGGACATAGCATCGATGAGCTGCTCTACCTTGTACGCCAGCCGCTGCCTCCGAGCTTGTTCATCCTGCTCTAGTGCCCCAATCAGCTGAGGGACAGAACAAAAGGAGGGAGGGATGCTTTAAGACACAGTAGAAAAGGAGAGAGTCCTTCGGGGAGAGTCCTCCCCAAAGCCACCTTTCGGTCTGCCTCTCCTTTCTGGAGAGTTGGAATGCAACTTTAGATGCCTGGAAGGATGACTGGGTCCAGTGACTGTACCTGTGATCAGGCTCGGCTTAATGATGAGGGTACTTTCTGAGAATTGGGTCCGGAGGTGACTGTGTTATCATGTAAATCGTCTAGACCATTCTCACACAAACATGGCGTCAAATCAAGCACAAACAACAAAATGTGTGAGCAGTTGATCTAAACATTATATACTGTCTTATGGCAAACTTCTGTGTTTTGTTTTCTTTTCTGTAAAATAGGCAAAGTATATTCTAAAATTACAGGAAAAATATAGTATACTTGGGCACTGGGTGGCTCCCATCTGTAATCCTAGCTACTCAGGAAGCTGAGATCTGAATATCCTGGCTCAAAGCCAGCCTAGACAGCAACAAGCCAGAGGTGAAGGTATGGCTTATGTAGTAGAGTGACAACTTTTAGCAAAACAAAACAAAACAACTAAGAAAAGTGGGAGGCCTTGAGTTTAAGCCTTAATATTGACAAACAAAAGTATGCTGTAAGCTGAGTGCTGGTAATTCAGGAGGCTTGTAACCCTAGCTACTCAGGAGGCTGAGATTGAAGGGTCACAGTTCAAAGCCTGCCCAAGCAGGAAAATCCGTGAGACTCTTATCTCCAATTAACCACCAGAAGACTGGAAGTGGCACTGTAGCTCAAAGTGGTAGAGTGCTAGCCTTGATCAAAAATGCTCAGAGATGGTACCCAGATCATGCGTTCAAGCTCCATGACCAACAACAAAAGTGTGTCATAGTAAACATGTACACCAGCATCACAGTCAGTTTTAAAATCAAGTTTTACATACTGTGCACCAAATTGTATGTGCTACTCTTTTGCTTATCCCACAGTACCCCGTTAGAATTCCCCTTTCTTTCTTTCTTTTTTGGTCAGTCGTGGGGCCTGAACACTGGGCCTGGGTGCTGTCCCTCAGCTCTTCAGCTCAAGGCTAGCACTCTATCACTTGAGCCACAGCGCCACTTCTGGCTTTTTCTGCTTATGTGATGCTGGGGAATTGAACCCATGGCCTCATGCATGCAAGGCAAGCACTCTACCACTGAGCCACCTTCCCAGCCTTTGTGCTACTCTTTTATATGGTAGGCAACACAGCAGGTTTGTCTATATCAGCATCACCATATGTATGTGAGCCATACATTGTGCTATGAAGCTAGAATGTGGTGTTACACAGGGATGTTTCAGCTACATTATAACTGCATAGGATCATTTCATATATGTGGTATGTTGTTGACCACTGGACAAAGCATCATCATATAGTACAGGACTATACATGCACATATGTATACATATAACCACATACACACATGCATACATCTACATGTATAGACACATATGTGTATAGGTATATGTATCCATATATGGCTGAATGTATGAGTATATATCTCTAAAGTGTTTCACACAGTATTTGGATTCTAGGAAGTGCTATGTAAGTGTCAGTTACTGCTACAACAGGGTTTTTCAGGTTTGGTGTCCTCTGCTTCCCAAACTCTAACCCAACCTCTATTTGTGTTAGGGTGCACCTGTTTCACTGAAATGTGACTGAAAGGGTTTGTCCAAGTGCCAAAAAAACCCCCCAGCTGGGTTCATTGTTTGAGATTGAATGCAGTCGATCACATCCTACCTTGAACTGAAGACAATGAAACGATTCAAAGTGTCACTTAGTGTGTTCAATGACAGGAAGACACAACAGTATGTAAGAAAGTGTTCAACTTGGAGCTCACAGGCTTTTGACTCTGTGCATGTGTTACCTCTGCTGATGTTCTTTGTGTTTGGTGGTGCTGGGTTCTGAACTCAGGACTATCACACTTGCTCAGCAAGAACGCGACTCCCTGGGGTTGTTATTTAAGATTGAATCAAGCTTCCGGTTTAGTGGACTGTCTCCTGCGGGCTGGTTTCTGTCCCTGTAAGAGCCTGTCTTACCTCCTCACTATACTTGCTGACATAGGAGTAAATCTCATTGAGGGCACTCAGCATGTTGAACTCCACGGCGTGCAGGCGGGACTGCTCAGCGAGGTAGGCGTTCATGTCCTGGTCACTGATGGCTGGGAGCTTGGCGATGTCTGCATAGTATCTGCCGTAGACAGGACAAGGCCCTTCTCAGGGTCTCAGCAAAATTTGCCTGCATCTACTCTGGCCCCGGGTCCCTCGGCCCCCTCAACAGCCCCGGGTGTCCCCTGTTCTTGTCTTCCTATTTCTCTTCGGATGTGGCTTTGCTGCCCTCTTGGCTCAACTAAGTTTGAGGACGGAGTTGCTTCAGGAGATTTATATCCAGCTGAGAGCTGGCTACAGTGCCAAGAATGGTTAAAAGCCCAGACTGGCCAGACTCCTTAGATTCAAATCCTAGCACTGCTACTTGCTAGCTGGCGATCTTGGTATAGCTTATCTGTGCTTGAGCTTCCTCATTAGGAAGCTTAGCATCTCTGCTGGGCATTTAAATGAGATGATAACATACAAAACCCACATCACCGTGCCGAGGGCTTAGCTTGTGCCCAAGAAATGGAAATTAGGAAAACAGTCTTCAGACTTTTAAGGGCACAAAGCCACCCTTCCTTCCCACAGCAGGAAGAAGCAGGAACGGTGAGGTCCCACAGGAACTGCAAATAGTATCTGAGCCCTTAGTTGTGATGACGACCGTTTGGGCAGCCGAGCAGGGGGATGCCTGAGGGAGCTACTCACCTCTCCACCCAACTCTTGTAGCTAGGGATGTCCTTGGCATAGAGCAGCTTGTTGGAGGGGGAGTCTTTGCCCAGCCGATGCTCCGACGTGGAGCAGGAATCCATGAAGGTCTGGGCCACCACGGAGAGGCAGGCGTCCGTGATGCTACCCTTGTGAATGTCAAATACAAACTGAGGGTTCTTGATGACATTCACCCAGAAGCGCAGAGGGAGGCTGGGGGAAAAGGCAGAGTAGATCTGAGCATTCCCTTCAGCCAAGCCCCTTGCACCTAATATTCCTCCCCGCCTGTCCCTTTCCAACAGGCCTAGAGGATGAACTCATAGAAAAGCAGTCCGGCAGGGGCTGCTAATTCTACCGGAGCTATTACCAGTCCTGGGAGGAAAGGAGAGAAGCTTGTACCTTAACAGGGCACTGACCCCCGTTTCCTGAGAACTCAAGGTGGGCGTGTCTGACCCACCCTGCTCCCTCCGGGCAGGCTTTTCTAAAGGCCTCAGTGCCCTAAAGCAAACCCAAGTACACAGGACAAGGCAATTTTCTCAGCGCTTCAAACAAAGCCACCAGGCTCCTGGAGTCCCCTTCACACTGCTCGTGGCCATTGTCCAGAAGGAGGCAGCCGGCAGCCCCGGGCACTGCCTCAGAGTGGGCACAAAGGGCACCACCTGCCCTTCCCGCCCAGCCAGGCTGTGAGAAGCCGCTTCCCAGGGCTAGAGGGCCTGGCTGGGCCCAGGAATGGGCTCCCTAGGGGGAAGTCCTTTCAGGACTCTCCCCAGGGCTTTCTTGTGTCTATGCAGGGCCCAGAGGGAGGAGAGCAGCCATTGCTGGCACGCTGGGAATGGCCCACTGTAGCTCAGTTTTTCCCACTCCAAGAAGAACCCAACAGTAGTCAGGAGACTTCCTTCTGCCGCTGGAGAATTTATAAGCAGAGGGCAATGAGCTTTTTTTTTTTGCTTTTTGCTTTTCTTTTTGCTCCTGGGGCCATAAGGCGGATAAGCCCATTTACCTTCCATCAAAATCAGAACAGCTGTTGTTTTGCCTTTTTCTCAACTCTGCCTTCTTTTCCAGCTGCCTTCTGGCCTTAACTCTTTTGATGCTTGTTTAGAGTGAGCCTCGGCGCTGGGCCTGTCCTTCTGGCCTGAGATGATTATCTGTCATCTCTCCTTTGCTCCTATTCTCTTGACTCTTACGGACCCCAGACTTTCCCAAATGTCTTCAGAGTGCCAGATCTTGGGAGGCATTATGTCTTCTGCTAGAACCCCAACGTGCAACAGCAGCGCTTCCTTCCCTGAGATCCGGCAGTGTGCTGCCTTTGCTGGGCCCTGGAGCCTCTCCCCTGCCCTCCTCCTCTCCCCTGGCAGCTCAAGCACGTTGAACCATCTTTCCTTGGACATCTGCCTGGTGAGGTCTGGACCACAGGACTCTTGTCTCTCCCACTACTCTAGGGAAGTGTATTTCTGTTACTGGTGCCAGGCCAGGCCACACAGACGGCACAGCTATTGGGACCATCCAGAACTTTCTCTTGGTTTCCTTGAAATTGTGACTTTCCAGTGATGGCCTGGGGATTCTCCAAAGCAAAGGAGATGGCCCCGGTCCCGCCCCTAGGAATGCAGACAGAGCGCGGGCACCCATGTGCTAACTAACTCTCATCATATTACTCCACTGCGGTGAGAGAGACAGACTCAGGAGGCCGCAAAGACCACAACGTCCAGGGAAGAAAGGAATATTCTGGGGTTAGGGTTAGCTCTTTCCAAAGTGTTTTGTTGGTTGCTAAGACTTTTGATTCCCAAATAACAGCCTGGGCCCATCTGTGTCGGCTTTGTTTTCTGAAGAGACTGCTGACTCCAGACAGCTGCACGGGCTGCCTGCCCAAACCAAATGCCTGGGCCTCCCTTCTCTGTGCTCTTTCCCGAATTAAGCCTTTTGAGTCCGGCTGTTGGTCAGACCCCATCTGACCTGACAGCTAGTCCTTAGCTTGATCACTAGTCCAGGTTCAAAACCCAGGAGGAAAAAGGCTCATGCACGGGGCCTGTGGGAGCTGCTGGTTCTCCCTCTGCTGGCCTGGATGTAGAGGTGACTTCAGGGAAGAGATCCAGGCCTAGGGGCCATTCTGCCTGCTGCTTCCTGAAAGCTATGGTGCTGGGGTGAAGGACTTGGCATGAAGAGATCAAATGTGTAATGAAATCGTCAGTCACGGGCTCAAGTCTACAGCAGGTGGGAGTCCGCCCCGCCCTCCCAATCCCACCAACGTCATTCCCGGTCCTGTCTCACAAGTGACCATCCTCAGCATCCAGAATGCTTGGCTCTGGAGCTAGATTTCAAAGGCGGCTCTTTGTGTAGGCCCCTTGCCCCCATCTCCTGAGAACCAGAGAGCTCTGAGTTAGCAGAGCAGGCTCTCCCCCAGGGGAAGGTCACAGCCAGGAAGAGCAGGGCTTAAGCCAGGCAGGCCCCACTTGGAGCAGCAGGCAACCTGGGGATTACATGGGCTCTGTGGAGCATGTGTGGACCGTGTTCCAGGAGCCTCTGATCACCCTGTCTCAGCTGACAACCAGCTGTCTCTCCTCTCCAGGGTCCCTGTGGGTCCTCACCCCTCCATTCCCTGAGTACTTGGTCTCTCCAGGCTGCATCTCCCACTGGGCTCTTCTGGGGATTATTACCAGTTGCTTTTCCAGGTGTGCCGCACATCTGTGTCGTGGATGCTGTGCCTGTCTGCCTGCTCATCCAGGAAATCAAACATGTATTTGATGGCCAGGGGGAGAGCACTGCCTCGGTGCACGGTGCTGAACAAGGTCTCAAACAAGTCATCCACGAACTTCTGCAGAGTGCCCTGGAGGAAGCAAGGGGAGGAACAATATTCAATGGAGAATGGGAAGGGTGGGGCCCGGCAGGGCATCCACAGTGTGCTGGGTACTTCCCTGGACCTATCCTGACTTGGACCTTTGAGATTCAAGAATGGGCAGACAGCATGGCAGGTGGGGATGGGGAAGGGCACTGGCTGGAGTGTCAGCAGGTGGGTGAACCTGAATGGGTTGGGGATTCCTGGGATGAATGGCATGCCACACTGCTGCTTCCTCCATGCCTGGCGGGTATAGGTGCAGGGCCTGTGATGGGAGACCAGAAGGGCACAGAGTCTGAACTTGCCAGGATTGAATGTGGGGGCACAGGCTGGCAGCCCAGTCTGTGGAAGGCATCCAGGGAACACGCTGGAAGACTGGGACCTCGCAGCAGAGCTTGACAAGACAAGGTAGAGCCATAGGCTGGTCTCAGAGGAAGTGCAGAAGTTTCCTTAAGATATTAGTGACCTGGGACAGGTGGTATTTGGAGCATGGGCTGCAGGTAAAGAGTCTAAAAGACTCAAGCACAGCCCTGAACCACACAAGTCTTGGTGGGAATCTGGGGGCAGAGATAAGACTGGCTCTAGGAAGACCTCTGCAGATCAGCAGAATCTCTGACCTTTCCCAGTCTTTTTGTTGGCTCTCATTGTTATGCTGGGCATATTAGGCAACAGAAAACTGGGGATATGGATCCGATCCAGTAGTTTGGGGCTATTTCTGAATAAGGCTGAAAGCTTTAAGTATCCCACTGTTATTCGTGTGTCACAAGCATTGTTGAGGGGTCAATGGGGAGAATATTTGAAATCTAGCTTGACCTGAAAATTATGGATCTCATGATTGCTGTGCTTATGGGCATATCGTGTTGTCTGCCAGGAAGGCTAGAAGATACTGCCTCTCACAGGTTCTTTTAGCATGCAGGGGAACTGAAATGAGGTAGATTCCTGGTAGGACGAGGCCTTCATGCCTTCTCTCCCAGGTAGCCACGAGAGGTAGAAAAGGCAATCATCATGGAGGCAGGCAGAGAAGAGGGCAGGAAGCAAAGAGGGAACTGTTGCTTTTGCTAATGGGTAGGGAACAGCAATGGAACTGCAGTGGCGTGATACCCTGGAAGCCATCCTGGGTTCCTTGGGAGGGCAGGCTATCCTTTCTGAGGGGATAGGGTATGCCCCTCTGTGAGCCCTCTGCGCTTGGGTGAAGAAGGAGTTACCTTGGTGGCCAGTAGCCGGGTCAGGTAGATCTCAGACACCATCTTGCTGCCCCGGTCGCCCTCCTTCTGGTCACCGTGGTCATGGTTCTTCACCAGATGCCATACTTTGACCCCACTCTCCAGGTCTGGGGTGATCATAGGAGCCCGGGACCTCAGACTGTCAGGGCTGCCCGTGTACCTGAAGGAGGAGTCTGAGGCCATGGGGTTGAGTGACAGGTTAGCATCCCTTGGCACACACTCAGGATAAATCTGTGTCAACTGGAAGGTCCTTGGGACCTCTTGCTCAGTGGATCGTTTTACAGATCCTTGGCTGGCATGAAGATAGAGGGGCCTAAAATCTTTTTCATTCCACAAAGAAGATTTAGAAAAACCAGGTGTTGGAGAGGCTCTTGAGAGTCTGGGAGTTCCCTCCCCTCTGATGGTTCCAGTAATGAATAATCAACAGGCAAAATGTCAATTGGATATCTTTATAGGTGATTTAATGAAAATCTGGATATAAAGGCGCTGCATGCTTTAATGATCTGCTTGGGAATTAATGGGCTCTTCTTTCTTGGGGCCTAGGATATGACATTTCCTGCATCTCTCTCTCCCCTCCCCTGCCCCTCACCCCCATAGCGGTAGGAAGCCAAATACCTGCATGCAAACAGGAAACCAGATAGGACAGAAGAGAGAGAGAGACATGTGCTACGCTTATTCCAGGGGACACTGGGACGGGAAGGGGAGGACGACCAATTTACTGCCTAAATGGACAATTTTAAGAGTTAACTAGTAAGATAGGCATAAACTGAGACCAACCCAGGAAGTGGGCATATACATATATATCTATATATATCTATATCTATACCCATTATATATATATACACCTTCCATTAGGGCATACATATCTCTATCTATCTATCTATCTATCTATCTATCTATCTATCTATCTATCTATCTATCTATCTATCTTCCATTTAGGCCACTAGGACTCCTTTCCTAGTCCTGAGATATAGAAGGAAGTGTTCTCATGCTGTCCTATGACAGCATGGACTGGAGAGAAGGCAATGGGCAAGTGCCTTTGAATGGAGTCCAGCAGCAAGCAGGGGCTTCCTATGTGGGAAGGGATGGTTGGTGGTTCCTGGGACCCTGGGTGGTCACAGGAGACTGGACCCTAGAGGTGCCCATACTGCTTTTCCCAGTGCTCACCGTATCTGCTGATAGATGTCCGTGAGATGCTGGCTGAAGCAGGGATGTTGTATGAGGAGGTCTGCTTGGGGACCAGAGCCACCACCGACCTGTCTGATACCTGAGGATGGTACACAAAGCATAGGAAGTTGAATAGTCAAATACTTCTAGGACATTATGGGAGCCAATAAGGAATTCAAATAGCCACTACTGTTGTTTTCTAAGCTTTTATTGGACCAGACCAGAGTGGCACTGCTGAGATAGTACCACTTCTTGTCACGTGTGGCTTTGGAAACCTGAAATGTAGTCAATCCCAATTGAGACACGCTGCTAAGTGTCTCTGTGGAGAAGTGCTAACACGTACAATACACGCTGGATTTCAGCGGGTTAGTACGAACAAAGGATTGTAAGCTGTCTCATTAATAATTTTTTATTGATGATGTGTTGAAGCAATAATCATTTTAGATGGCTTGTGTTAAGTAATATTGTTAACATTAATTTCTGCTTAATTATGCTTTTTAAACGTGGCTGGGAAGAACTTTAAAATTACCCATGTGACTTTCAGTGTGGCTTGTAGTGTTTCTACTGGACAGAACAGGGGCAGGCATGGCCTCTGGTCAGTCTTGTGAATAATGGACAAGTATCCCCATCCTACAGATGCAGGAATGGAAGCCTGAAGGGAGAGGCAGGGTAAGCAGTATCCTCAAGATGGCATGGTTAATGCATGGGGGAGTCAGTATTGACACTAGATCTGTCAGGCTCCAGATCATATTCTTCTAATTTTATATCCTAATTTGGGATTTTATTTCAAGTTATATTGACTGATCTGAAGTCCATATTCCCTTTTTGCTTTTATTTCTCCATGTCCTGGGTTCTCTTTTAGACCTAGGCCACCTAAAGGGCAACTGGCCTTGGGGGAGTCAGAAAGACGGCGTTACCCCATCTTCTGTGAGGATGCCAGGCTCAACACCCAGTCTGTGGGGAGAAGGCTGATAAAGGCGGAGCCATATTGAAGACATTTGGGGCCATTTTGATTTAAGATTACCCTCCACGCAATAAAAATGGAGAATCCCCAGAATTGTGGCGATCCAATTAAACCCCTAACGCAGAGGGAATAAAACAGCTATAATAATGTTATGGGCCATAAAACATTCCTATTAAACCATTTTTTATTTTAACAATTTTTATGAACTTTATAAGTTTGATTTATAGCTACACCAGTCATAAAACCATCTTTCTGGGTCTTAAATTGTCAGTCCCTCTCTCCCACCAAAAAAGAATTAAATGTTGGGAAGTCAAACTATAAATGAACATTAGCGCTAACGAGATTCCCTGATAGCCAGTTTTAGTGGTGGTGTTTAATTTTACCCTCCCGATAAATCTGCGGGAGCCCCAGGAAGTTTTTTAACATCTCTTTGTTAATTAAGATTATGCAGATTTTCATCTGTGGGGGGCTCAAAGGACCTTTGACTCTAGGGTGGGTAACAAGAGGCCAATGCCAGACTTGAACACAGAAGGTTCCAGGATCTTTAGCCCTTCAGAGCATTAGTCCCATGCCTGGAAGATGCCAGTGAGCCATCATTTCACAACTGAGGTAGCCCTTAACTTGATAGCTGTCTGCACCATCAGCAAAAGCCCTAGGACAGAACAGGGGATGGAGTGTGTGTGTGTGTGTGTGTGTGTGTGTGTGTGTGTGTGGTGTGTCTACTTCTGTCTTTCAGGAGTTCTCCTTGCCACCCACAGTCCAGAAACGATACCCTGAATGCTTAGCAAGGGCAAAGGTTTACACTCCCAGTGAGAACAGATTGCATTAATTATGGTTTGTTGTCACCTAAAGGAAGAGCTTTACAAGGTGACTCACATGACCACAGTTGAACTCAATTCCAGGTCTGGTCACTAAATTTCTCTTGTTCTTCGTTTTGTTTTGTTTTTCTCTCTCAACCAATAGATGGAGCAAATCCACGGTCAGGATACCTGGCTGGATCTGACCTTGACTTTGCCTCAGGTAGATGACTGCACCTATCTGGGCCGTGGCAGTCAGTAAGGGCAGAATCCATTGTCTATGGTGATTGTTGTAAGGACTATTAAAGGCATTAAAATACACAAAGGCTGTTTGCCTGGTGCCCAGTGAGCACTCAGCAAGCGTTGGTATTTATGTTGTCATCATGAGCACCACCACCATCTTCTTCTTCCAAAGGGAGGAAGACACCTTGCTGTCCCTGTCACACAGGGCTAATGTGTGGGAAGTGCCTGGCACTCAGGGAAGCTTAGTAAATATTTGAGAAATGAATGAATACATGAATGATAAATGACATCAGGGAATTGGAAGCGTTTTATGTGATGAGCCTGTGAGGCGGGGTATTCCCTACTTCTGGCTAGGAGCCATAGGCTGGGCAGCACAAAGGCCCTGCTCCTGTTCTTTAGGAATAGGAGACTTGGGGCATCGTGCTGTTCTCTTTTGCACTTTCTTATTCAGCTCTAATTGCTTCTTTACAATTGTTCTCCCGGATGCATCTTTTAGCTCGTGATGTGGTAGTGGCTGCGTGTGTTTGTCTGTGCATGTGTGTATGCCTGTGGAATTCACAAGGAGTGATTACAGCTGGTCCGTACCACATCCTGCCTCCTCACCTGTTGTATCTAATCCTTCCAACTACCTTCATACTTTTCCCAGTCAGGGCTGTTATCTCCTTTTTGCAGACAAGGAGCCCAAGGTTGAGAAAGATTAAAGTCACACCATCAGAGAACAGGGAGGTGGGGCTTTCAATACAACTCCTGAAGCCCAGTCTCTTCTCTTCTATACCTCCTTCACTCTACATGGGGCTGGGGTCCAGGCAGAATATCAGCCCAGGGTGCTGGTGGGGTGGGAGGGGATGTAACCCAGGGAGGAGTATTCAGGGTGTCTCCAACTTCATTTGTGCACCCTGGGGTTTCTGGCCAGCCCCAGGGCCTCCGGGCTGCAGTCCATGGGCAGCTCAGCGCTCCTAAGCCCAGCCTGCCAGCCCCTTTGCATGTCTCCTTTTGGGGGACAAGGGGCACAGGACGATATTATGAATTAGGCAATCCCATGGGTTTTGTAGCCAGGGGCACTTCCTCTGGTTGGGTTAATTTCCCTCTGTGTCTCTATTTCCAGTGTCTATTTTAGTATCTTTTCCTGAATCCCAAAAGGTAGACACTACCTGTGATCAATCTTACAGAACCGCCACCCCTCCCTGCCCCAAGCTGTGAGTGCTGGTCATGGGAGGGGAGGGAGGGGAGATGGCGTTCCTGCGGTTGTGTTCTTCGGCTGAAATTTCAGCCAAAGACACTCAATGTGTCCACCAGTGTGCAAAGACATCCTTGTCTATATTTATTCTAGTCTATACACTTGTCGGGGGCAGGGATCCCTAGGGTCCCCCTTTGGCAGGTACAGGTAAGAAGAAGAGAACTTAAGTACACTGATAGTCAGAAGTGTCTGTTGCACTGCTGCATGAGAGAGAGAAAGCACCAGGCACCCTCAGGTAGCTGTCCAGATGCAGGGATTTTTTTTTTTTTTTTACAATATGCAGTTCTTCCTATAAACGTAGAGAGGCATAGTAACAAAACATTGGGGCCTTGGCCAGATAAAGCTGTTTCTGAGAGAAGTCCAACCACTCAGAGTTTGCTAAGTTTTCTCTCATCCCTGCCTGCCCTGTGAGTCTGCTGAGAAGCTGCAGTGAAGTATTGTTGCTCCAGGATCAAGGGAAAAGAATATGAGAGAGAGGAAACCCTCTGAAGGTCCTTATTGTGGCTGATGGCACGGTAAAGAGGCTCCAGGTGAAAAAGAGGCCCGACTCCTCTCACCTGATAATGCATCAGTGTGTTGAGCCGCTTCCAGTCACCTTCGATCTTGGTGGTGATGTCTTCGTCTTGTAGCACGACCCGGGCGATCCGGCCTTGGCGCCACTCTGGTTGGACAGTGCGGTGTGGGTGTGGCATGAGAGGGGTGGGGCTGTGAGCCAGGGCCACCTGGTCTGCCTCCTCTTAGCGCCCAGCAACCCTGACTCCCTGCAGCTTGTGTAAAGTTGTGCTTGGAGACATGCCTGGCTCCATGGGTTCAGGCAGCAGGGGCAACTGAGGGCCTTCCCAGAAAACCCACATCTGAGTGGGCAGTGCCCAAAGGGAGAGATGTTTCCTACAGCTCATATCTGGCCAGGACCCAGTCAGTACTCCTCCCCCCTCCCCCAGCCATTGGTGGCTTGGCATCTTCCCACCTTTCCATAGGTACTGCACCCTCTGGGAAGCTGCTGGTTTCCCCCGCACCCTCCCGTTGGGGGCCAGGCTTCCTACCCAAGTCCATGTCAACAGCCCTGGGCCTCTGCGAGTAGGGCACATTCTTATACACAGCATCGAGGATCTTCTCCTTGACTTGCGTGATGGTGTCACAGTTTAACACCTTCACTGGGATTTCTGGGCTGTTCTCATTGTCTGGGTTCACACAGTTCAGGATCTACAAGTGAGTAATCAAGCTGTGAGCAGGACATAGTTGAAAAGCAGTTTGAGGGAGAGGGTTGAGGCCTCGGAATCTTTCCCCCCAGGGTTTGCCCTTTTTACAGGAGGGAGGAGCATATTTCACTGTTGTTTTGTGCCTCAGTTTCTCTCACCTTCCTGATGCCTACCGCAGGAGGGCCTAAGTCACTGGACCCCCTTCTTTCTGAATGAACCAGGACCTCATCTCTAGCTTCTGAATAGTTTAGGGGAGACTATGATCCTGGTATGAGGTACCCAAGGACCTTAGAACTGGTTTCAGAGTGTCCAGGGCTGGTAGACCTTAGCCAACGTCTCTACACTAGGAACCAATACACTTGCATTCTTTCTATACCCATCGCTCCATGCTGAGTGACCAGTGACCTCCCTCTCCCAATATTATCTAGGGTAAAATGAGGCATAGAGGGCCCTCCAAAATGAGATGCAGGCGAGGGGCTCCAGCCTTGCCTTGAAACACTTCAAATGGCCCCTGGACTCGTCCCAGATGGGCCCCTTGGCCTCTTCACGGATCTCTTCTGCCGCCCCCCTCCCCCCACAGAGCATGTCCAGGGTGACAGAAGACAGCTTGGACCAGAGCAGGGGGCAGGCAGGCGCTGTCCCTCACCAGGGTCTTGTACTCGATCTGCTGCCGGATGAGCTTGTCCTCGCTCAGGGAGTAGCGGGCCTCACCGGTGATGGCGTCGATGGGGCCCTTCTCCATCTGCTGCTTAATGGCGCAGTACAGCATGAAGAGCGGCTCCCCTGCACATTCCTACGGGCACAAGCAGGGCATGGGAAGTGTGGGAGTGAGCCGTCCCCTCCCTGGCCACCTCTGCAGCTGCGACAGTCGGGGAGAGAACCACCTTGGCTTGGCTCACAGGGAGCATTTGGGCCAGGGAGTTTCCTGTTCCAGAGGACTGGGGTCCCCATACCACCCCGAAAGCCAAGCTGTGTCCCCGCTCACCTTCAGGAACTTGTGCAGGAGGAAAGCAAACCAGTTGGTTAGCATCTTCTCAGCCACGGATTCAGTCCTGGGGAAGGCAGAAGGAGTCCTTTGGGGAAGGTGTTAGTGGTAGGGGGCTGGGCTTGTTACGTGGGACAAAGCGCTGGGCTGGGAGCCATAACACCTGCAATCTATCCTGACTCCACCAGGAACTAGAAGTGTGACTTGGGGTGTTGGGGGAGGTGACTTCTCTGTGGGCCTCAATTTCCTATGCAAGACCTCGCATCTCTGCTGCTTTGGCTCTTCCTTACTCCTCAGGGACCCCAGGGTGATGAACAAGGCTTTTTTTTTCTTGGTCTTCAGAGGTTTTCTGCATGCCCGTGGACTCTATTTGTGCACTGGTAACCTGTCTCTCTGCATGCTCAGAGGCAGGCTGCCTTGGGTTCAGATCGTGGCTCTGTCACGTACTGTCGGAGTGACGTTGGGCGCATTGTTTAACCTCTAGGTTTGATTTTCCACCATCTCTAATTGTGGACAATCATCTCATCTGCCCTACACACAGTTGTGAGGATCGGATGAGTTAATATAGTTTAAATGCCAGGAAGAATGCCTAGACGCCAGTAAACACGACATAAATATTAGCTATATTACTGCTGTCATGTGAGCTCTCAGATCTCAGCCCTGCAGGTAGAGAGCAGTGCTTAAGAGTTTAGCCAACGGGGGATCTGTCTCTGCAAGTACATCCCTCTTCCCCTCCCCCATCCCCAGGCTGCAGATCTGGGGACTTGGGGAGAAACAAAGCGGCTGTGACAGACCCTCAGTGATGGGGGATGCCGAGGGGGTATTTTAACTCCCCGCACGTGGTGCAAATTACACCCTCTGGTTGCAGTAAATCCCAGGCATTTACCAGGGCCGTGTGGCAATCTGGGCTTGGGAGAAAGTGACAATGGCAGAAGAAATTGTAGCTTTCTCCCCGGGGCCCTCCCAGCATCCTCTCTCTGCATTGTGTCTGAGATTAGCTCTAATTTAAATACAACAGTTCTTAATGAGAGTTTCTAATGCTCAGATTGGCAGGATGGGGGCTCGGTGCTCAGAAAGCAAAGCCATTCTTCCTCCTTGCCCCACGTGGGCCTGTAAGCCCGAGACCTCAGGAACAGAAGGCTGAGGAAGGAGGGGGGGTGGTGAATGGAGGTAGTATGTTCCCATCCCTGCTGCCCAGAGCTGTGGAGCTGTGCTCAGCTCTCTGGTGGCCTCTGGTGAGGGGGAGCTCAAGGAATGCTGTGTCTCTTAATCTTTCTGCTATCAGGAAAAAATGGCCACGGGAGCAGGCTAGAAGGCTGGTAATTCCAAGCCAGGAATCGGGCACACAAGCTGAACCGTATCCCCAGCCTGGCCTCATCCAACAGAACCATGATGGAAACGATCTGTGTGAGCCAATATGGTGATCACTAGCCACAGGTGTGGTTGTTGACTAAGCACTTGGAATGTGGCCAGCATGATCCTAGGGTAATAGTACCAGATAGCAAGTTGTCACCAGGCTGGACCACACAGTTCTAGAGGCAACTAAAGGAAACTAAACGACAGAGAGGTTGCCTGTCTCGCCCAAGATCACAGAGTTGAGCAGGTGGCAGGACCAGGGTTCAAGCTGAGCTCCAAACCTGGGCCTGTGCTCTTCCCACCGTTAGGGGGCTTTAGGCACTGCAGTCTCCCAGGATCCCTGGACACACCAGACTCCACGCCAGCAGACGTGAGGACACCGGCTACTCTGGGGCTTGCCATTTCCAGGGATTGGAAACCTCGTGCTATTTGGGGGCTGACTAATGAGAACGCCCATCCACCCCTCCAGTGACAGGTCAGACCTCCGGAGCAGCAGCTTGGGGTGGTTCTTGTTCTCCAGGTTCTTGTCGATGAGGTCAGACAGCAGCTGCTTGAGCACGTCGGTGGCATACTCCAGGCGGCCCTGCAGCCCGGTCATGATGAGCGACGCCACGTTGCCCCGGTCACGCATGGAGAAGCTGCGCTGCAGCTCCAGTGTGCGGATGAAGGTCAGCAGGAACACCTTGTTGTTGATGAGCTGGGCGAAGAGCTTCAGGGCTTTCTCCACGTGCTGCTGCCCATTGCCCTGCACCTGGAGGGCGGGGGTGGGCATGGAGAGACACCTGGGAAGACAGGCTCCTGCCCTTCCCTCCTCGGTTCTCAGAGGACCTGCTGGCACCTGCTGTGGGCTCCTTTCCATGAGAGCTATGGCCAGCCCCATCCCTGCGGCTGCTCTCTGAAGGCTGCAGTCAGCCCTGACCTGGGCTCCTGGGGGCCATGTGATTCTCCCAAGGGTACCATAGAGACGACCCAGCACATATCTTCAGTTTATTAGTCTTCCCACCATTGCCCTTTCCTGATTTATCATGAATAAAACAAACCTATGGAATCCCACGTCCTTCTTTAAACCACCTTCAATCCTTTCTAGAGTAAGGCCAGATCTTCATTAATTTCCGTCATTGATTTAAAACATGACCATTCCAAGCCTTACTCTGGAATTATCCTCAAATGCTTGGGAACCTCCTTAGTTGTCATTTTCCTGATAGCTTATAGCTGCCATGTGGTTTTGACCTGTTGGTCCCTTCTGACTCCTAACTTTACGTAGGTCCCACCTGGAATTCTTAGGAAACCCCGGCCTGTGTCCCTGTTGGTGGGATGGACCCTGGGAGACAGGCGTTACCTCCAGCTCACGCAGGACAGGATGATCCTCGATGCCTGGAAACAGGACTCGCATAGCATAGGTACGATAGTCTAGGTAGGGGATTCCTGAGCGGTCCAGGTCACTGGTTAGCTCGTTGATGTCCGTCTGGAGCTCGGCGAAAGCTGTGAGAAGTGATCAGAGACAGGGAGGCTCAGTGAAGGAGGGAGATCTAGAGTACAGAGATGGTGAGGGTAGAATGATGTGTCTGGAGGAAGAGCTTCGTAGGCTGCCCGCTACAGTTGGTATTTTAAGCATCCCAAAGGCCTGTGTGTTATGGGCATGGCTCCAGGCTTGATGCTATTAGGTGGCAGTGGAACCTTTGAGAAATGAGGCATAGTGGGAGGTCTTTAGGGGACTGAGGATGTGCTAGAGAAAGGTAAAGGGTTTTGCTCAGCCACCTGCTCTAAGCATGCCGTGCTGCCTTACCCACAGGTCTGAGAGCAACAATACCAACCTATCATAGGCTGCAACCTCCACAACTGTGAGCCGGCACCAACCTTTCCTATTTACAGGTTGATTAACTCAGGTACTTGTTATGGGGATGGAAAGCTGACTAACACACTGTATTTCTTAAGTGGTGAGGAGACAAGTGATTTTTGTATGATTATTTTTATTTTTTATTTTTTTTTCCTGCCAGTTGTTGGGGCTTGAACTCAGGGCCTGGATGCTGTCCCTGAGCTCTTTTGCTCAAAGCTAGAGTGCCTTACCACTTTGAGCCACTTCCGGTTTTCTGTGTTAATTGGATATAAGAGTCTCACGGGGACTTTTCATCCTGGGCTGGCTTTGAACTGCGATCCTCAGATCTCAGCCTCCTGAGTAGCTAAGGATTACAGGCTTTTATATGAATTTGTATGCTTATCAGCTTTTAAAAATTGTCTTTGTACATAGTGTAAATGTAGCTAAAGGGAAGAAAAGAGAACACCATGACTTAGGCCATTCAGTCAAGATCATAGAGGTGCTGGCGTCTGGGGGAAAAAAATGGCTTGGACAAGGGGTTCCAGAGAAGACTAGAACAGGCAAATTGCTACCTTTTCCCAAGCCAGAAAATAAATTAAGATATAAAAGCTTTGGGTAGCCTTGGCTACCAGATGGCCAGCAAACAGGGAGTAAAGGGCCTTTGAGGTCTCGCCCCAGGGACAGGCCTGTCTTCTGGGTACCCAGACTCTGCAGGCTGGTGCCAGAAGGAGCCTAGGCCACCTTTCCCAGCACAACTCTTCCCTTTCATCCAGCAGAGGGCTTGTTTCCCAGAATGCCATTTGTAGTAAAAGGAGAAATGTTTTGATTCCTAATTGAGATGTTTTCCCAGAGAGCCTGCCAGGTCCTCAGCCCGAGAGAATGCCAGGTACACTTGTCACCTCATGGCTGTGGCTGCGTGGGAAGACGGGAGAAAACACAATCTCTGCTCCTACACACATTCATGGCCAAGGCCATCGGCAAATACGGCCTTCAGAGTGTGCAGCCCGGCCTGCAGCATTGATAGAGATAGAAAACAAACCCTGGTGGGGGGTAGGGGTGGGCAGATATTGGGTGGGAAGGAGGAGGGGTGCTCTCTGCTGGCCTTGCTGCTGCTCCCTCCCATGGGAAAGACCCATCTGCAAGTGTTTAGGAGCCAGACATTGCTATTTGGAGGATGCAGCCTGAGATAAGGAGAGAGGCAGAATGGAACTGCTAGGTTGTGGGTTGAATCAGATCCGGGTAATATAGGTAGACCTGGGCCCCTCCCCATGGACATTCTTCATAGGCCTTCTTTGATCCTGGGGGCAAGGGAAGTTTCTGGAAAAAAGCAGGTCCAAGTGGGATATAAAGACATGGAGCAGGAAGAGCAAGGAGGAGATTGGGAAGGTTGGTGCCAAAAGACGGGGCTGGAGAAGGTGCATCTCCACTCACCTTCCTTACACTCCAGGGCCACGCGCGACTCCAAGTTGTCCATCTGCATCTGGAGTCGCTTGAGCGTGAGGTCATTTTCCCGAGACTTGCGCTTGTAGGCGATGAGGACGATGATGACGATGATGAGGAGCAGGCTGCCGCCCGCCGCGATGCTGACGATGGCGGGCAGCGTCAGCAAGCTGTCTGAGATGACACTCACCGAGCCAGGCGAGAACACCATCCCACCGACGTGCACCTGCGCATTATACACATGGACGCACACAGGTGTAGAGCCCTGGCAGGCCGTGTCAGTCAGGGAGGACATGACAGACAAGTACACACACATACATATACATACATACACACACAGAGTGCAGATGTGCACACAGAGAGACTTCCTGCTTTTGGCAACTGCTTTGACTTACTTGTGTCCTCCACTTCTCTCCGCTTTAATGCAGGACATGGAGATGAGGAGGTACAGAGGGTGTGGGTTGGAAGATGGAGCCACATGCACACAGGGAGGGGGGTGGAGAGGTGAGAATGGAGGAAGAAGGCTCACTCACCATGACCTTGTGCTGCCCCGTGAGGTTGGGAGGTTCGCACAGGAGCTGCGTCTCAGACACGGTGACGGCACAAGGGGTTTCTCCAATCAGCACCGTGTAGTTGAGTTTGGCCCCTCCAGAGGCTGGAGGACAGAGGTTTTTGCCCTGTAGAGAACGGTAATCTTAAAAAGAATAATTGACACATGCCTGCAGGAGTTAATTGCCTCATTAAAAAGAGATTTAAAGGAGGCCAGGGAAGGGCAGCAATGGGAAAACCAAGGAAAGATCCCTCCACAGAAGTTTTGGAGGGGTCTTCTAATGGTCAGCCACAGTTTAGAAAGAGGGAAAAAAGAGAGAAGGAATAAATGTAAAGAAGAAAGCAAGGATGGCAGGCATCAAGGGCTCATTCTGTAGTCCTACCTACTCAGGAGGCTGAGATCTGAGGATCATAGTTAGAAGTCAACCCAGGCAGGAAAGTTCATAAGACTCTTATCTCTAATTAAATAGCAAAAAAAGCACCAAAAGTGGAACTGTGGCTCAAGTAGAGCTCTAACCTTGCGCAAAAAAGCTCAGGGACAGAGCTGTGCATACATGCAGACACAGAAAGAAAGGAAAAGAAAGCAAGCAGGAAATAGGCAGGAGAGACAAAACACTATCCAAGAAGAAAATTGAGGGGGAGGAAGGAGAGCTACAATGGGGTATAAGTCAAAACGGTGCAGCCACCAGGCTTTTGGACATGTGATACCAGAAGACTGTGTGTGTGGTTACGCGGCCAAGGAGATGGCCTATGTAATGGAAGATCTGTTGCTGCCAAGCCACTCAGAACCTATCCCCCAGTGCTCAAGAAAAAGATTTCAAAGTATTATTCACTTGAGAATCCCAAGTGCCAAAGGTATCATCAGTGCATGGCTGTTTATCAATGAACTCTGTGGATTTGGGGGTCCACATGTGCAGACAGAAGAAGCAGAAGGCCAGGGAGCAGGAGGGGTGGGGGTGTTCTGTTCCCTCATTGCCTGGGCTGGGAACTGCTCCCCTACCTTTAGGATGATGGGTGATCCCGGCTTCTGATCCAAGACTCCAGTAGGGCTGAGCAGTTCAAATGTTGGGTTGGGGTAGTAGATAAACTTGGTGTCATTGTAAACAAGCAAGGACTGGACGTTGTTAAAGAGAAACCCAAATTCATCTGGCCTCTCCACGGTGTCCAGGCCTGGGCGGTATTCCGTGGTGAGAGAGGGTGCCAGGCAGGTCAGGGTGGTTGTGTTCACCACTTTACATACCTAAGAAACCCAGAAAACAGCATTTGAGTTCCAGGCACTGGGGTGGGGAGGAGGGAAGGACAGGGCACACTGCCTCCCACCTACCCTCGGCTTGATTTTCCTGATTGTCACTGGGATTACCTGCTTGTCTTAATTGCACGTGAGATGCTTAAGAAAATGGGTGGTGATGTCTTTTTGGAGGCGAGAGGTGCATTTAAACCTCTTCCAGTCATTCATGCACACATACATGCATTCATTAACACGCAACTTTGCTTGAGCACCTATTTTGTGCCAGGCTATGGACTGAAGTAATCACAGAGGCAAGGGGTAGACTACAAATTAACCAATGATTATAAGACGGGCCCAGCAGAGGCCCTGGGACACCATAGAGATCATGACACTGTGAGATGAATGAATGGATGGGAAAAATCGGTTCTTTCATCTGGGGATGTGGGCACAGAAGTATATATGTGTGTGTGTGTGTGTGTGTAGTATGTAACAGGAAGTGGGTGAGGAGCACTTTTCCCAGGGCATAGTAGAAGTGTAATTAGTGCTTGTTGATATGTAAACAGGATCCTGTAACTCAGGCCACATCTTATTCAGAGCCTCTTTCTTTTCCTTAGCCACAGATCCTTAATCCTACACTGGAGTAGTGCCTTGGAATTGGCACTGGGTTTACAATAGCTTTTCTTTTTTTTTCTCTTGGTAGACTTTGGTCTGTCATTTAAAATTCTAGCTGGGTTGGCCCCCAGTTTAGGAAAATCTAGGCCAATTCTCCTCCGGTGGTTTAGTTCTGGGGCTGGCCAAGGCGGCAGCCAGACTGAAGCAACCACTACAAGACCACATACAGCTGGGGAAGAAAACCCGCACGTCTGCCCGCTTGCCTCTTGGCTGTCACTCAGCGCCACCAAGTTTCAGTTCTGGACACTTAGGAACAACAGGAACTACCAAGGGGGCTCTGAGAGAGATCTGAGAACATAGTCCCCACAAGTACATGCTGTCTTGGCAGGTCTGTGTGAATGTGTATGTGCACATGTGTGTGTGTGTGTGTGTGTGCGTGCGCACATGTGTGTCTAGCTAAGAAGTGCACACTAGGGCTTCGTGTTCAGGAACAAGATGGAGTGTGAAATTGCAGAAGAGTGGATATTTGTATAGACGATATCAGAACCTCACAGTCCACGTCAACCCTCCCTGTCTGGAAGGAACTCAAGAGTTTGAACCAACAGCTCACTGTACCATTCCCACTGTAGCTGGAGTCAGTACCTGTTCCTACTCTTTTTATGACACATGTCAGCGGCCCCTTTCCAACTCAATGTCTCTCTCCTGTGGCAGCTGGGAACATTGGCGCACAGAAAAGGCAAGGTAGGGTTCATGAGAGAATTGTATTCCTGGCCCTGCAAGGAAGATCCCCAGCCTCAGTGTGTGTCCCATGCCCAGGTTTCTAGCCCAGGGAGCCCTGTGCAAATAAGCATTATTATAAAACATGATTGCGTTCTTTTCTTTTGGCTCTGGGGATCAAACCCAGGATGTTACACTTGCTAGGAAAGCACTATGTGATTGTGCTATATCCTGGCTCTAAGTAGATCATTTTTAAACAAGAGGTCTCTGTGTGCCTCCTGTTCCGTGCTGTGTTGGCTTTGGTGGTTTGGCTCTCCTTAATATCCAGTGAGTTGGCTGTGAAATCCGAGGTGGGCCCCAAAGATGGGCGAGGGCTTACATGGGACAAAGAGCTATTTTGCCATTGTTCCACAAGCTGAGGCCTGGGGCATTGGTTCAGAGCTCCCCACAGTGAGGACAGGCCTGACGGACATTGAATTCCCACATGCCTTTCCTCCAGGCCTGTCAGCCTGTCCATTCCAGGACAGGAAGCTCGAGCCTCCCCCTCTCCCACCCCCCACCCCCCAAGCCCAATGCTCCAGAAGGTGGACTTATATCTTAGTGTCCTGAAATGCTGTGATCATAGGATCTGGGAGTATGGAGCTGGCGGGCAGCCAGGGAGATGATGAGTGTTGGGGAGACTGAAGGAAAGGGGTCTTGGTCCTGAGCCTTCTGCCGGAATGTCAGGTACCAGGAAGCTTTCCTGCCCTGGCTTCTCTCCCAGTGGCTTCCCCAGGACCACAGCTGGAGCCCTTGAGGGTCACCCTGGTTGGTCATGTGTGGTATTTGTTTTGCCTTTTATCTTCTGTACAGTGGCGTTCTCACATCTGGGGTCTGCTGACTGGCTTCCCTGGACTGTCTCGTTCCTAGAGACAGCAAGAAGCTTGCCTGCCAGCAGGCCTGACAAAGGCAAAACCCCAGACCCAATCCCAACCCCCAAGCACCTCCTTTCACACTCCAGTTCCTGTCCACAGGCCCTAATCACCCCAGGACTCAGTAGAAGAACAAGCAAGGACAGCCCTGGTATTTCAGACGTCGATAGGACCAGCTGAAATGACGCCAGCTAGCCAGTCTGTAGTCCATGGATCCTGCAGCACCTGTTCCTTCCTGAGGACACCACCCTTGTCCTCTCCTGTCTTCTTCCAGACTTACAGCTTCCCCTTGTGGTCCCCTGGGCATGGTATGGCCCCCTTTTCTTGGGATCTGATCTGTGCATATGACAAACTGTCTTTGGCCTTGCCATGTCTGATTAATAATAAAACCTGTATCTTAAAACATGTACCTGATTTTCTCAGGGGAGGGGTGGTTTACCCACTCTAGGTGAGCATTCACTGTTGCTATTCCCATCCTTCACCTCGTCCTAAGGGACCTGGGGTTTGGCAGATATATGAGCTCCTGGGAACATTGAACTACTGGGAGGGATGGAAGGGAATGGATTAGGGCTCTAGCTTTCCCCATGGACCAAACTCTGACTTGGAAGAAGTGGTGTGTGCTCACCTAGCCCAAAGGATGGTAACCATGATGGGTACAGGTGCCGCCACCTGTCTGGCATGATCAGAATGTCAGGCCCAACAGCATTTCACACAGTCTAGTTAGGAAGAGCCTAGAAGCGTGGGAGCTAGCTAGCCCGGTCCTGCCACAAGTCACCTTAATTACTGGGGACCAGTCATTCGTCCATTCTGGCTTCAGGTTCCCTCAGCTCTGCAGTAAGTGGGGGTTGGAGTAGGTAAGCACTGAGCCTTTTCCAGGTCCAGCCTTCTAGCACCCTGCGGTGTTGTGCTAGAAGTTTCTAAAGGGAGTCTCTCAGCACTCTGGGAATATGTCTCAGGGATAAAACCAGAGACCCAATACCATCTTCTGCATCTCCATCTTAGCCTTGACAAGCCCCTGCAGGTTGGAGCAGTCATGCTAGTAAAAATGCATCAAAAATAATGGCCGTGACAGCACCTCCTGGATTGTAATTATGAATACAATAACCTTTCAGAAAACGTTGACTAAAGGGCGTGCAACAGGGCCTCCAGAACAAACTTAAAACTTTATAGAAGACATGACATTCTGCTTTATCAAAATAATAGTATTTCTTTTTCTTTTTCTTTTCTTTTTTTGTCGGTTGTGGGGACTGAACTCTGGGCCTGGGCACTGTCCCTCAGCTCTTCAGCTCAAGGTGAGCGCTCTACCACTTGAGCCACAGCGCCACTTCTGGCTTTTTTCTGCTTACGTGGTGTTGAGGAATTGAACCCAGAGCCTCATGCATGCAAGGCAAGCGCTCTACCACTGAGCCACCTTCCCAGCCCTCTTCTTACTTTCTTTCTTTTTAAAGAAAACCAATCACAAAAATCCATAGTGGGAAAAATTTAAATTACATGGCCAGGCCCTATAAAGAGGTTTAGTAAAATGATCAGTCTGGGCCAGAATTATCTGTATGCAATAACTAATATTTATCAAGTACCTGCTGGCCATGAGCTGGACAGTTAAGCTAGGTCTTATCATTAGCATCCACAGCTGAGCAGCACAGGAAAGAGAGGTCAAATGACTCGATCATGGATGTGCAGCTAATAGCTGGTGGAGCCCTGCTTCCAATCCAGAAATGTCTGTGGGTGGAGCCAGCGTTCCCTTCCACTTCCCACACTGCTTCCCTTTTGACCTCTAAGTGAACATTAGCCTGTAACAGGAGCCCTTTTGTGCTGTATCATCAGCTCGGAAGCCAGGACTTTTATATGCTCACTAGATCATCTTCTGACAAGAAATTACACTGTAATTATCAACTACATTGTAAGGATCAGCTATTTGGGACCATGTATCCCAGCTCCAAGTTACACACCAACTTCCCTTTCCAGTATCCAGGTGTTTCCCTTCCTGACCACTGGCTTATGGAATCACAATGATTGGTCAGGCAGGGCCAGACTAAGGGTTACTCACATTGACAGATTCTTTGCCATTAAACTTGACTCGGATCCTTGGCTCCTGAATGACATCCAGGTTGAAGCCTGTGATGGTCAGTGGTGTGTGGCCACTTGTGGGAACAGAGCAGAGGCTGGTTAGGGAAACCCTCCCTTGAACCTGCTCCCGTGCGCCTCTCTCCCACTATCACGAGCTGCCCTTGTGCTGCAGGGCATTTACAAAGCTCCCCGTCTCCGCCTCACCTGGTGATGCTCCACTCTGGCTCAATGCGCTGCACCCGGGGGTCATCTATGTACTCAAACTGCAGGCTGTTATCCACACGCGCTCTGTCAACACTCACAGACACAGGCACTGCGCCCAGGCCGTTGGATGATGGAGGTGACACACACACGATCTCATTCATTGATCTCCTGATGGGGGAGAAGCGGGAGGATTAAAAATGATAGGCAAGGTCGACTCAAGTTGAAAAGGCACGTCCCTTGGTCAGAGTTGCTTGTTTCTGCTCCCTGTGACAGCACACACTCCCCCATCGGCACCCATCAGTGCCTCCTTCCCACCTGAGACCCAAACCTAGCGGGGAGGGAGCACGTTGGATGGAGTTGGATAGAGAGTGTGGGGTAAGGACCGGGCTCCATAAACTATGGAGGAATTCTTCTTTTCTGGACTTTTCTAGACTATGAGAAACCAAGGCATCAGGCTGTCAACACATATCCACTTAGAATCAACCACACACAGTGACAAGCACACAAGGATTGCTCCGGCAGAGTTTATAGTGCAAGGAGATTGTCAGATGGGTCACACTACACCAACTGGGTTCTTATCTATGGATTCTTTCCAAACTCTCCCCAGGTCTTCATATTTCCAGGCCTCCTGGAAGAGTAGGTTGTTTTTTTTTTTTTTTTTTTGGTTGGTTGTGGGGCTTGAACTCTGGGCTTGGGTGCTATCCTCGAGCTCTTCAGCTCAAGGTCAGCACTTTACCTCTTGAGCCACAGCGCCACTTCTGGTTTTCTAGTGGTTTATTGGAGATTAGAGTCTCATGGACTTTCCTGCGCAGGCTGGCTTTGATCCTCAGATCTCAGTCTCCTGAGTAGCTAGGATTACAGGGGCTGATTGATTTTTTATTTTTAAATGCACAAGAGATACTGAGAGTACAAGTCTATGCAGCCTCCATATTTCCCAGGTCCTCTTAGGGAACTCAGTGGATGTAGGTCCTCATGGTGACTAGAGATTCAACAGGAGTCCTTTTCAGTGACCTTTAAAAGTTGTGATCTAAGCCAGGCGTCGGTGGTTCACACCTGTAATCCTAGCTACTCAGGAGGCTGAGGTCTGAAGATCACGGTTCAAAGGCAGCCAGGGAAGGAAAGGCCTTGAAACTCTTATCTCCAATAAACCACCAGAAAACTGGAAGTGGCGCTGTGGCTCAAGTAGTAGAGTGCTCGCCTTGAGCTGAAATGCTCAGGGACAGTGCCCAGTCCCAGAGTTCAAGCGCCACAACCGGAAAAAAAAAGTGATCTACAGGACATAAACTGACAAGTAGTCTGTATTTCTAACAATGGTTGGGACAGTGCTTGGGCCCAGGAGGTAACATGGAATCAGCAGGCCAAGCTGCTAAACAAACACACACAGGAACATGCATACACATGTCTCAGACATACGGCCTACTTGGCCTTCAAGTGCTTCTCACCCATAGAACTCGCAGGTCTGGTTGCCCAGGTAGACAGCCACACTGCTCCCAGCACCAAGGTAATGGCCTGTAATGGTAACCATGGTACCTCCTGACTCTGGTCCTCGGATGGGGTTGAGTGACAGCACAGAAGGGTTCTTTGGAAAGAAGCAGAAAAACGTTCACAACTTTAGGTCCCAGGCTAGACCCAAGGACACAAAGACTATCCCTGTGTTGGAGTGGAGGTACTTTTCCTGCTTTTGGTAGTCCCAGGTGCTCACTCGGGTCTCTCTGAGGGTATCTCCAGGGAAGGCAGAGGACAGTGTGCTGGAATTAATTAACTCCCTGGGGAGTCTTGTGCTCATAACACTGAAAGGACAGCGGAAGTGACACTGACTAATCTATCAATTAGTTTACAAATTGAGAATCATTTGAAAATGCTTCTCTATCTAGAACCTGTCCTGATTTTTTTGGCACAAAATCGATAAGGCTGAATAAAGCACCCCTGTCTAAGTTGGGCTGCTGAGAAGCGATAGCTCCCAGAACGGCCCATACACAGGTTTCTTTGTCCTTCCGTAAGCATGTGAGGGTTTCTGGTGTGGTCAGTGAATGTTAGACGTGGCCTCTCCAACTCTCATCAAGTGGGTGATGGGTCAACTGGATGGGAGTTTCTAGTAAATTCACAAAACTATAGCAGTGAGCCTAAAACTCATTGTCTACAGGTCAAAGGCATGTAAAGTGCATTCAACTGAGCAATGGCACAGGTATGAAATCTAGTCTGCATTAGCCACTCACTAGCTGCAGGCCCCAAGGCAAAGTTTAGGATCATTCTGGACATTTGCTTGTTCCCTTGTCAAGGGAGGAGGGTGGGCTAGATTACCCTTAAGGCCCCTCCCATCTGTGTCATCTACAGCTGTCTCTCCATCTTGTCTTTCTATCTTTGCCTCTCATCCTCCCAGGGTGGGGGAGATGGAATATTTGTCAGCAGACAGGCTGTGGTTCTTTCCAACTAAGAGAGAAAAGCATGAGTGAAAGCTAGATGCCAAGATGAGACGCCAGAGTCTGGAAACTCTAAAAATAAGCAGTTAAAATGCTTTAGAGAGAAGAGAATTTTGTGGCCTAACGATTTTTCAAAACTCTTAGCAAGGCTGGTTTGACCCCATCCGCTAGTGTTAACACTTTTTAATGAAGTACTTGATGTGGCCATGGTGGTAAGTGCTAGAAAAAGGGACTTGAGGATCCCAGAAGCAAGTTATCGATTTTGTATGAATTTAGCCCAGGCAGGCACCAGGTCCTCAGAAACAAATATTGATTCGGTGAGAAGCCAGTGCCAGCCTTGTCAAAAGCCTTCATGAGACTACACCTGTTGTCTAAGCATATGGGTGTGCCTTCAGGTGTGACAGGCATACACGTGTGTAACCACACTGACACACAGAGTGACCATCTCTGATGTCCTCTCTCCTGGCTCTGCCAGATTCAGCGACTCTCCTAAACTCCCATGAAAATAGCCTTGGCAGGAGACAAATCAGGTAGATCAATATAGACCTGTTTAATTAGACCCCCTCATGGGCTCATCCTTGTTGGGATGGAATAAGACCAAGATATCACACTGGAGGACAAATGGCAGGTTCCTCTATACTCATCTACTTTCTAAGTAAGGGTGCATTTGGCTTTGTTTGGCTTCTGACCTGTGGCCTGTTAGGACTTGGTTCTCTACAGCTTTTGTTATTCCCATGTCCATTATACTCCAGAATGATAGGGTTGTAAGCAATGAGGTCACGATCCTTTTTTTCTGGTCTTTAGTCTGAAAGGTCTGGGACTGCCCAACCTGGGACTGCATGTGGGTCTCCCTGGGAGAGTACACCTGTGCCTTTGTTGCTCTCTGTGGCCCAGTCCCAGTCCCAATACTTACCACGAAGGTGTACTGCTGGTGGGACTTGGTCATGAACTCTGGCTTACACTCCCCTATGCACAGGCGCACGGGCCCAGAGGTGGTTCCTATGAGGGCGTGGCCCATCTCGCAGACGATCCTGAGGAGATAGCAAACCTTCTGGTGAGAGGCTGGGCCAGGCTTCATCCCTGCCCCTCTCGCTCATCCAGTTATAGTAAATGGCTCATCACAACCATGTCAAAGTGCTGGGCCAGGAGTCAGCTTGGCCAGCCACTTAGCTGTGCACCCTTGGGTTCTGTGCTTTCCCTCTCCTGGCTTTAGTTTTATCTGTACAGTAGGAAGTTGGATTGGATCATCTCTAAAGTCCTGTGGGCAATGCTGCCCAGGTCTCTGATCACTGCAGTAGCTAGTGTGTGTGTGTGTGTGTGTGTGTGTGTGTGTGTGTATGTGTGTGTGTATATGTGTGTGTGTGTAATAAACTGAATGTCCAGCAGAGAGATCTAGGGATTAACCTTTTAGTTAGTGTACTCTTTTATGTAAAAGCCAACATTGCATTATTCCCTAAAAGATCAGGTTGAGGGCCAGTTTGGCACTCAGATTCAACTGTGGCCCATTGGCCTACAGTGAGTTTTTACAAGTGGGAGGTGTGCAGGCTGGGGGTGAGCAAACGGGAGGAAGGTGCAGAGTTCGTTCATTAGGCTGGGTGTTGAGACTGGCTTCCCAGTTAATCAAGGGCTGAGCACACAAGCTGGCAGGGGAGCAGATGACTGGGCCCTGGGTTGGAAGTCACGCCTCGTGCTAGCAGGAGTGCGGGAAGGAGGAGGTGTGCTGAGTTCTCCCGAGCAATCCCGATCAATACCCCTACTGGTGACTCCCCAGCACCTGACATAAGTCACCCTGTCCATTTAGACTCTGGTAGCCTTCATCACAGTAGCCTTTTAGAAAGGGCAGCCAGTGGAGGACTTAAGAAATCAAGTCCTGGGGGGGGGGGGCTTTCCTGGAACTGTAAGGCCTGGAGCAGTTGAGACAGAGAGAGAGAGAGAGAGAGCCTCCAGGCTCAGAAGAAAAGGAAAAGGATGCTGGGAACAGGACTGGGGAGAGCAGGACTCCTCTTGTCTTCCCACACCATTGCAAAGTTAGAGCAGTGTGGTGTCCCTGGTATGTTTGCCTGAGGGGGGGGGAGCCCCGGAAAGCAGAGTTCCCTCCCCACTAATCCCTAGCATTATCCTGGCACGGTGGGGAAGATCCATGTTTAACCGAGTGATGCTTATCTGAACAGCTTCTGCAGGAAGGAAGGTAACTAAACAGAGATTTCATTTCGATGTAATAAAACTTGCATTAAACAAATACGCCGCATGCTCACACGCTCGGCATGCCGCTGGTCTCCATCTCCTTCATAACAGTTAATCCTGAATAAGTACTTTCACTCCGAGCGAATATTTACTTAACATGCCATAACTGTCTTATTACGTTTAGCATATTAGATGCAACAAGAAAGAACTGAACGTGCATGGAAGAGTATTCTCCCTTCCCTTTCTCTATGAATAAATAAATTAATTATGAACCCACGTCAGCACGATAGTAATGATCAATTAGTATTTGTCACGTAACCGTCTCCTTAAACCTCATTAGTGGCGCATTTGAGAAGCTTAATGTAAGGTTCTTGTGTGTGGTTAATTTCAGGCAGCTACCTGCTTGGAGTAACAATTCTCCCATCCTGTTTCTTGGGTGTTGGCCCTGTTCCTGTTTGGGGGTGTCTGCTATTATTCTACAACCCACACCCTGCACCCTTGGGAGCGCCTGAAGAGAGGCAGCTGTGGATTGTGGGTAGTGGGGGTGGGGTGGGGGGAACAGATAAGCCTTTCCTTCTCTTCTAATCAGGGCTCCCTTGCTCCTCACTCATCGCCTGAGGACTCTCTGCAGGAGTAGTCTGCCAGAAGACAAGCAGGAAGAATCATCGCAGGCTTATGGTGAAAGGCAATGTGAGGACATGTGAAGGTCATGGGCAAGAACCATTCTTGGGAAAGAAGACCCTGGAGGGGGCTAGCAGCAGGTGGGGCTCTTACAGCACTCTGTCTTTCCTAAGATACATTCTTCCTCAGGGTTCATATTTTAAAAGATAAGCATTCTGCACCATGCATCTGGGAGAAAGAAGCGTGATGGATGGATGGGAGTTGGAATGTCTAAGCTGAGCACCCGCAGTTGGCTCTGAATGCCCCAGCCTGGAACAGAACTACACTAAGCCAGAGAGCAGCCCATGTATCCTCAGTGCCAAAGCGGAGCTCTACCACCTGGAGAATGAGTGGGGCGAAGGCTTCAGTCAGCAGGGGGCTATAGAGGAGTCTGGGCGGGCATGTCTGAAGTGAGGACAAAGATCCTCAGGAAATCAAGCAGCATGGGGGTGAAATCTAGCCCCATCTGACTTGCTCCTCCGTTCCTGGGCTCCATGCCTACAGGGAAGGGTACAGATAGATGTGCTTAGTGCTTGTTGTAGGCACCTGTCTGAGTTTGGGGTAGGGGAAGGAGAGGGAAGAGCTCAAGAAGAGGCAAGGCAGGGAGTGGGAAGGGGCGTGGCGAGTGCCTGTTCTATTCTACACCTTCGTTCTAACATTGGCTGCAAGGTGCTTGTGGTGGATGTACCTCACAAGATAGGGCTCTACAACATCTCCAGGCCCTGCCACAATGGGGGAGGCCTTGTCACCTGCACTTTGCACAAAATGAAACTAAGGCTCAGAGATAGTGTCATTCTGACACGGTTCTGAAAGCGGCAGAACATTGATTGGAGTGCAGGTTAACCTGACTCCAAACCTCATACCCTTGACTACTCTGCTGATATTAGAATTTTCCTCCCCACTCATCCCCTCCCTCTTTCCCTCCCTCTCTCTTTCCCTCCCTCCCTCCATCCCTTCCTTCCTTCCTTCCTCTCCTCCTTCCTTCCTTCCTTCCCTCTCTAATGGATCATGCTATGTTGTGCAGTCTGGTCTTAAACTTGTGAGCTCAAGTAATCTTTCCATTTGAACCTCTCAAGTAGCTGGGACTACAGGCATGAGCCTCTGTGCCTGCCTCTGACACTAGGTTTAATGGAAGGCTCTGGATGTCTATCAGGGAGGAGAAATGACAGAGGTGAGGGTTTTGGCAGAGGGTTTGGGGATGGACTCAGCTGTTTTCCTAAGACTGTAATCTCCTATTCTCTTCGTTGTGGATCAGTGGTATGCCTGCTACCTTTTCCTCCAGGCCACACAAGTTGGGTCCTATGTTTGAACTTTGGAGGCTCTTCCATATCTTTGTCTCTTCCCTGTGTCCCTAGTGACTCTAAGTGTTACTATGTACTATTAATAAAATAGTACTATATACTATTAATACTATGTACTATGCTAAGTGCTGGTGACTCACACCTGTAATTCTAGCTACCCAGGAGGCTGAGATCTGAGGATCATGGTTCAGAGCCAACCCAGGCAGGGAAGTGTAGCTGTTGCTTAAGTGACAAAGTGCTAGCCTGGAGCAAAGAAGCACTCAGGTCCTGAGTTCATACCCCAAGATCAGTGTGTGTGTGTGTGTGTGTGTATGCACACACGTACACACACACACACACACACACACACACACACACACACACACACGGCAATAGCTAGAGGCACCTAACTTTTCTCCTTGTAAAGAAAGAGTTGTACCAAACAACTTTTCAGCTTTGATATTTGAAGATTCTTGGTTGACAGTGATTCTTGGTTGACAGTGACTCTTGATTGACAGGGCAGGTCTGGAGTCACATTAGTGCCACCAGTAATAGTGGGAGTGGAGGCCCCATGGTGCATGTTGTTGTGTCTCATAAGGACCACTGAAATGATTCAGAGATCTCTTCCTACATCCTTACTTTCCAGATAGACATTATAAAGGATCAAGGAACAAAGTGACTGGCCTAAAGTCACCTAGCTCATTGATAGTCACGTTATGGCTTGGCCTTCAGTCTCCTGGCACAAATCTGGTACCCTTTCTCCCATGGAACACCAATTGTTGGAGCTGTTCCCATGGTGCTTTGCTCTAAGGACGGGAAGTACACCGATGGAGCTTCTGTGAGTTCATAGGTATAGCAGATGGGAGGGAGGGTTCTGAGGATCAGAGCTGAGTTGGCCTCATGCAGGGGCCCTGTCCCCACCGAGGCTGAGCTGCAGCCTCAACCTGCATCCTGTTGCCCAAAAAATGTCCTGTGATGGAATCATCTGGCCCTCCACAGATCTGTGGGGTGCTGATTGCAGGACTAAGTGGGGCCCTTTAACCAACGTGAACCTAATTGCTGAGTGATAGATGGCAAGGCACAAGCATATGGTGAATCATTACCACGCCTGCTAATCCTGCTCGAGCCCGGGACTCTGCACAGAGCCCGTTTAGCCAAATTCATCTCTTGCAGACATCTGTAATGACAGTGCCTGCTGCTCACTGCCCGGGATGGAGGGTTTAATGATGTTAACAAACTCCGAAGCCTCGAGAGTGGTAATGAGCTGGGCGCCGCTGGAAACCAGGGCTGTATGGGCGAGGCACATGGTGTGTTCGCTACCTCCTGCCTGCCCCAGGCCTTGAGGAGAGGACAGTGGCAATTTTCTAGGGTCGCCATTAGCTTCGGTGGGGCCTTGTGATGACCATTCACCACCCGTTTCCAGTTTTCTCCTCCAGGCATTTCTTGCCTCCTGGTTTTGGGGAAGTAGCGTGGCTGCGACTACAAAAACAGAACTAACATTCCTTCCTTTTGGATCACACAGGAGACTGAGGGAAGTTAGAGATCAAACAGCTTTCTATGGTCTCAGGCTGGTCATTCGAGGAGCCAAGGTTAAATCACAGTTTAATACCAAAGCTCATGAGATGCCAAGGTCCAGCTGCCCAGAAATTGGCTCTTGTCAGCTTGCAAGTTTGACCTCTTCCATTCCCACCTCAGGCTGGAGACTGGTGTGTGTTAGAGGCCCGAGACACATCTTTAAGGCCAAGGTGAACTTTGGGGTCAGTGTGACTCAGTGCCCAATCAGGACAGCCTGGTGGGGTGCTGGCTTGGTGTGGACTGTCTGGCCATGAGGACCTCTGCAGGCTGCCCTGGCTCCGGCCCTGGCAGCATTCGCCCTGTCTTCTGGCTCTGAAGTACTACTTACATCATTTCCCTTCTCCCTGCCTCATCGCTTTCCTGTAGACCTGGCCAGCCTTCTCTCCAGAGCTCACTCCATATAGGGATAAGGTTGGAAGGACAGGAGGCATCAGGTCAGCTCCGTCTCCTCCCTGTCTTTGGCCAGAGTCTGGGAATTCACCCCTGTACCTCTGACCCTTCTTTGGGTCCTGCTGGAATTATGATCTCTGGAGCCCCGAAGCCACATGCAGATGACTCACAGAATATTCAAGTCGCGCCTTTCCAGCCTATTGCCACATGGCTGTTACAGAAGGAAAACAGCCTTGGGTGGGTGGGGTGTCAGGAGGGTCAAGTTCTCATTCTTTCTTGGCCCCTCACATCCTGAGTAAACTGGGGAAAGTCATTTGACTTCTGCCAGTCTCTTGCTCTCTCCTACTTTGCAAAATGATGATAAGAAGTACTAATTTACCTGGGCTGGTCCTGACTGATTAAAAATGAAAGAGTGCTTGAGAAAGTGTCTTGTGAACTGAAGTACAGATGAAGGCTAAGGTGGCAGTCATTTTTCCTGGCTGCTACTGAGACTGGCTCTCAGGAGGTGGAGAGGTGGGGAGACGGGGAGGGGTGAAGTGGGGTGGGGATGATGGGGAGAGAGCCCGAGGCTGCAGAGGGCTGGCCCTAAAGGAGGGATTCCCCTGCTCCAAAGTCAAGCCCTTGCTCATGCTGGTAGCACCACCCACAGAGCTGCGTGCTCAGTGGAATCAGATGGTTTGACCCAACTTCACATGACAAATCATGCAGAATGATCTGGCAGCTCCCCTCCCTCTCTCCTTGGAGGAGTAACATCTTTTCTTCCACCATTCCGTCACCTCCCCTTCCCCAGCTTCATGCCCACCTCCTGTCCCCCAACTCGCAGTGGCTGCCACTGCCAAATGAACACCCCAAATTGGAACATATGTCACTCCCAGAGCCTCGTTCGCCTGTCCGCCACTACATGCCTATTTTCTAATTTCCAGCTGACATTTCCCTTAGTGAAATAAATGAATTTGCTCCGGCGGAGGCCCTGCTCGGATTAAGCTGCTGTCAGAGCCCCATGCACCAAACAAATTGTTGCCCGCAGCCCACCGTGCAGGATGCATTCCAATGGGTCTGGCAGGAGGGGCTGTGGGAGTCCTGGGAGGAGCCTGAACGTGTCAGGAAACTGGCTTAGTCATGCAGGCAGGCAAGGAAAAGACTTGAATGAGAGCCAGCAGGGGAAGCAGAAGCTCTGATGCCAGGCCAGCGAGGTACTCAAATGGTGCAAGACCTTCTGAGGGTGGAGGCCAGGTGGGAGCCTCCTAGGAAGATTGTGGGGTCAGGGTCCATGGGAGGGGAAGGCAAAGGGAAGTGTTTCCAGGCAACGAAGGGAAAAGGGTCAGCCGGGGCACACTCACTGCTCAGCGATGATGTATTCCCCCGGGAGGGGCGTGCAGGGCACCCCGGCCACCTGCACGTGGTGAGCGATCTCGGAGAAGTCCAAGCCCAGGTTCACACCATGGATGGTCACTCGGGTTCCTCCCTCAGGTGGTCCAGACACTGTCAAGATCTGCAGGAGGGAAAGGGGATGAGCCAAGCTGGGCAGCTAGAGAAATAGAGACAACCACCTCTTTTACTATTCCCTGAGGGAAGGGTGTGCAAGGACTTTAATGAACATCCAGAATCTGAGTATCCATGTGTTTTGTATATGTGTGTATGTGTATATATGTATCTATCTATGCATATCTAAGATCTGATAATCTAATAAGATCTAATAATATATGTAAGATATATATAGATATCTAAGATCTGATCATCTGCATTATAGGACTTCCTTGGTTATGTCATCTATCCATCCCTTCCATCCATCCATCCCATCTATCCATTCATCCATCCCATCCATCCATTCATCCATCCCAACCCATCCATCTATCCATTTCTTTAAAAAATTATCAGAAAGGATTCTAGATTCTAGGCAGAAAAATCATTGTTGAATATGTATCTCTAATTCACTAGTTGCCTGACTGTACCTATCCATCAATCCATCCATTCATCCAATCCATCCATTCATCCATCCATCTATCCATCCATTCATTCATTTCTTTAAAAAATTCTAGGCAGAAAGATCATTGTTGAATATGTGTCTCGAATTCACTAGTTGCTTTACTGTATCCATCTATCAATCCATCCATTCATCCAATCCATCCATTCATCCATCCATCTAGCCATCCATTCATTCATTTCTTTAAAAAATTATCAGAAAGGATTCTGGATTCTAGGCAGAAAGATCATTGTTGAATATGTGTCTTGAATTCACTAGTTGCCTGACTGTGATCATGTCACAAAATTTCTCTGAACTTCGAGTCTTAGTTAAGAAAAGAGAATTTCATGTCAAGCAAGTTCACAGGAAACTTGGGAACACTCTCACCACCCCCTACTACCCCCTCCCCCGCATCACCACCCAAGCAATAAGAGAGTGCGCTTGGAGCATTCTGTAAACCTGAAGGGCTTTGTACCGGTGACAGTGCTATTCTTGCCACTTCTCTGTGTGCTAGATGCTGAGGGGGTCCAGTGTTGAATATACCCTCAAGGAGCTTACAGTCAGAGGATTTGATAACAAAGGCTCATAAATAACGCTGATTCAGCGCCTATGGTGATAAGGATAGAGCTCAGAGCAGGATGAGATTAGGTATGGCTGGGGGGCGGGGGGGGGGGGGAGGGGTAGGGGTGCTCTACGACCTGAGTACATTTGTCACTGTTCTGGAAAAAACAAAAACAAAACAACAAACCTATGACACCAGAAATAGCTTTAGGATTTTCCTAGTCTTTAGTGGTTTCCTATTAGCAAAGATTATTTATTTATTCATTCCTCAACTCAGTCATAAAACGCAACTCTCTCATTTTAATTTTACCAAACAGGAGAAAGAATGGTAGAATTAGGTTCTCCCAGGGTGTAACTTCTATCTGGGAACAGATGAGGCTCTTGGAAAAATGCAGTGAATAATAAGTTCATGCTTTGTGGTCCTTACTCATCTGATGGAGAAGAAATTAGAAGCAAGCTCAAATCTAGCCAGCAGAGCAAAGCAGAATTTCAGAGCTGGATGCAATCAATCTCAGGGTATCTGATTCCAAGATCTTTATTTTCCAGTGACAGAATTAGAACTAGAGAAGTTAAGGATAAATCTGTGGTCTCAAGAAATGGGTACACATTGTTGTCAAAAGTCCCAGAATCTTTATGACTGTTCTACAAGAGAGGCAAGACTTGATCACGACCAACTGTCCCATAGGATCCCCAAATGGTGCCTTGGGACTGAGCCTCATCCTCTGTGTTTGTGGATGCTGAGTACCTAGTCCACCTAAATCCTGTATGCATGGTGGAGTGTTTGGTGGGTCATCAGAATCAGAAGGCCTTGGGCCAAGATGAGTGGTATGGGTGACAGTGTTGTCTCACCTGTCCTGTCCCACAGTGAGTCTCTCTCTCCGCCCTTCTTGTGACGTGGACAGCACAGGTGGGCATGCCATTACCTCATTCCCAGGTCATAGCAAGCAGAAGAGAGCTGATGGTGGGGGATGAGAATAATTCTCCTCCCTTGCTGCCAGGCTAACATGCTGTTTAGACCCTAGCTCTCGCATGATGCCTACAGAGCCAGGACTTGAACTCATGCCTCTAAGGCTGTAGGTCTTAGATGGTGCTTCCTCCCCCCTTCTTGCCAGCAAGACCCTGACCATGAGCAAATGGAGGCTCATTTCATTCAGGTCACCTTGTCTGTGATTCTGAGTCCATTTTTCTAGGGGGAAAAATCCAATTTTGTGAATAAAACTAGGCAGAACCCATGAAGCAAATCAAGGGAGATATAGCCAAAGGGATTCAGAGGCATCTCTGCGTGGTGGGGCTGAGGGTGGGGGAAAAAAGGACAACTTAGGGAAGAAAGTGCTGGCACAAGGAGGCAGAAGCTCCTGTAGCTCTTTCTGTCCCTGGGAATTCTAAAAATATCCAACAATAATACATCCTGGCTATTCTGTGCTTTTCTGGCAGAGTTCCCTCAGGACTCAGACCCCGGGTGATGGACATTTGCCAGTGAGAAACAGAGGAGGGGCTGCTTCCTTCCCTGCAGCAGAGCACTGGTAGAGAATTTGCTTTTAGCTCCCAGTTCTTGTTGATTCCTTTGGGCTGAACTTCTCCCTCCCCTCCCCCTAGCCACCTGGATATCACAAGCCCACCTATCTAAAGGAATCCACACAAGTGCGGGGACTCTTCCTCTCCTTCCCTTCCTCCTTCCCTCCCTCCCCCCACTTTTATTTTTAAAAATATATTCTTTTTGCTCACTGCAGTTAATTACAACCTTTCAGAAGAACTGTGAAATGAAATCTTTCTGGAAAGACTAAAAATATTTCCGTCTTGCAGGTAGCACGCGGGGGGCTGCATTGTGGATACTCAGTGTTGCTGGCAGGTTGCACCGGCTGGCTTCCTGCTGCTGGTGAAGTCATCACAAGCATTTCCTTCCAACGTTTGGGAGCCCGGGTTCTATAGGGTTGGTTATTTTGGCAAAGAGTTGCTCAGAAGTATAAGTCAGCTTACATTGATTAGTGAAGGAAGTCTCTCTGTCTCGCTCTCTGTCTGTCTATCTGTCTGTCTGTCTCTCACTTGTAAATTATTAACAAGGATTATTATCTTACTCTGATGATGGGTAATGGCTGCTTCACACCAAACTAAGAAACCCAGGATCACATAAATTACACAGGTCTCTACACATTCTGACAGAGACCAGAGGAGAGGATCAAAAAAGTGCGGTAGCTATTATATACATCAGGCTATATAAGATAATGTTTCTTGAAAGGAACTCCAGGAAATGGGAACAAGAAGTACTTCTTTCTTTGTTGCTGTTTTGTTTTCTTTTCCTTTTGTCTTGTTTGTTCATTTATCTGTCTTTGGGAGGGTAAGGGGAAGCACAGAAATGGAGGGACAGAATGCAGAAGTGGTACACATTGGATACTGTGTGGAAAATGAACTATACAACTGGTGGGTGGGGATGGGAAGGAAAAACTGGGAGAAAGTGAGGGAGGGGTGACATTGTTCAAAAAGAAATGTCCTCTACTTAACTTATATAACTATAACCCCTCTGTACATCACCATAATAACAATAACATATAAATGTATAAAAACAGCATTGTTCAGAGTTGAAAACAAATGAAAAACAAACCCAAGATCCTCCTGGATCATGAACCAGGAGGTTTTCAGGTTAGGAACATGCCTGGGGAAGTTGTTTTCAGGAGAATTTTCTTTCTAGCCTATGTCCTGTGTTGTCCTCACCACCTGGGGTGGATAGCCAGGAAGTTTGGGGTCAAGGGCAACTAAGCAATATCCTGCTCCGGGACTTAGGAGGTACCTAGAGCTTACAGCTTCCTTGCTGAAAGCAAAACTGATCTCCAGATTTCCAAAACCAAGATAAGGCAGTGGTTATTTCATTTGCAAGTGGATTCCCCAGGCTTCCATTACTGATGACTTCCAAATCTATATCATTGGCCCAGACCTCTCTCCTGAGCGCCACAGCCATATATCCAATTGCTACTGGACGTCTCTACTTCCACCTCTATGTCCCTTAGGTACCTCAAATTTCACCATGTCTAAAAATGAACTCTTAATTTTTCTTCCTCCCACCATAACCCAATTATCCTCTCAAATGCCTCTGTCAAGGTTAATGGAATCACAGTGTGCCTAGCCCGAAATCTTGCAAGGATCTTCCCTTACCTGCCATGTATAATAAATAAGGTCACCGGGTACTATCATTTCTTATTCCCATGAATCTTTGGAATCTGTGATTTGTGTGATCCAGCATATCTGGCAAGTAGGGCTCCATCATCTTTTACCTCCTTTAACCATGAGGCTCTCCACCGTCCCTCCATGTAAATCTAATGTTCTCATGGTTACCAGGGAACACAGTCTTAGGCAGGTTACTGGGCATGATCTAAGAACCATGGATGGAGGTGACCATTGCAAGCAAAGTGCCTATTAGGTGGCCTTGCCTTGCCTTTATGGTTCTTCAGGTTCTGGCTTCCTTCAGCTCAGCCACATCTTCCGGTTTATAAAATGCCCTCTATGCCCTGCTACATACAGTGATACCCATAGATGAAATTCACCAGAAATCATTGTGCCTTTCAGCACGATTACATTTTCCCAGCTCAAAAATTACAGAGAGTCAGGTTGGAGATCTGTGCTTGGAGAAGAAAGGACCAGAGGAAGGCATCCTATACACCATACTCCCTACCTGAGGCCTTCTGGGTAGCTGGGGATGAGAATAAGGGCCATGTAGCCTGGTTAGCAAGAACTTGGCATCCTGCTTCCTTCTTTCTCTTTATCAAGTCTCTAGGAAGGCCACAGGGGAGGCTTGATAGGAAACGATTCTGTCCTCCCCAGAGGAGGGAGGGGAGAATAGGGCCCTTCGGGGTGTTACCTCAGATCAGGCAGCTCTGGGGTTCCCAGCCCCTCTCCCTCTGGAGACTGTCCTCAGGGTTTTCTCTTATAAGCAGTCTTAGATGGTAGGGCACCGACTGCAGGGCATCTGAGAACAG